TTCACCCACTGCTCCCCAATCCTCTTAGCTCCTACCGGTTACGTACATAACACTAAATATATTTATGTGTTAGAGCCATAATTAATCTTTTAGTACTTTCACTTTTGATACTTAAGTACATTTGAAGGCAAATACCTTTGTATTTTTACTCAAGGGAGGACTTCTACTTTTACTGGAGTTATCTTTTTTTTTACCGAGCTGGCAGGGGACCACAGATGAATGCATCAATTTTAAATTTGCTCATGAAGTCCATAAGTTCACAGAAATCCCTTTTCAGAATTTCAGTGGTTTCTTGAATATCATTTCCTACAAGTATAACAATGCAATTTGCCGATCAGTGATCCGCAAAAATTTTGGGGAGTTTGTCTTTGATGTCTGCAACCATAGCACTCGGGAGGCAGCGGGTAGTGAAGTTCTGGTTGGCTACGTGTCTGACTATCAAATCCTCCACTATCAGTGTGCTTGGTGCGGCTTCATATTCAAGTATATTCAAATCTACGCTGGTCAGAAAACAATGAAAAATATCTGCTTTTGGCCACATAATGCTCTTGACCTTTCTATATATAACAAGCTCAAACCTTGTAGCTTGAAAAAAGAATATAAACTTTTGAAAATAAAAAGCCAAATGAAAGATAGCATAGCTAAACAAAGAAGCATCTGAATAGCACAACACAGTCTTAATACAGATTAAAAAGATTTTTTATTCTTTATTGATAAAGATTCAGATGTGTTTATTCTCTGTTAATACAGATTGACAAGATATGCTTATTCTTTATTAATAAAAATTGTTTTTTTATTAATACAGTTTAAAATTTGTTCATTCTTTATTAATACAGATTGAGAAGAGTTTATTCTTTGTTAACACAGATTGACAAAATGAGTTTATTCTTTATGAACACAGATTGACAAGACATGTTTATTCTTTACAGTGATGGGGATAGAAACAAGGGGTCACCATGACTACAACACAAATATAGACACTTTATTTACATCCAAAACCACCAGTGAACCTACATGAGTCTTCTGAGTTTTATATGGAATGTCGATGATGAGCAAATATAAGGTATATAAGTTATATATAAGGTATAGTTCCCGTCCAATGGTCAGTGATCCACACTTCTGCAGTGTGTATGGTCATTCAAACAGCCCAGACAGTATAAATGAAGTGCTGTCTGGGCTATTTGAATGAGAGCTGCTGTCTGTACTTTTACACTCTGATTAACCTTTAATTAGTCAGATTAAGTTTAATCAAACACTCTTCACTGTGTGATGTATCAGCATCAGTTAAACACATCCATTATATTAAATGGTCTGTTTTGTACAGTAGTGAATAAAAGTCTTAGATCAGTCGAGAATCAGCTGTTTCTGAGACTCTAATAGTTTAATGCATGTTTGTCAGCGTTCACGGCTCCAAACTGAACTAATAAAAACCTAAACCTGATAAACCTAAGTGTTAAACTCCATCATGGAGAGAACAACAGATCTGATCCAGATTAACTGATCTGAACTAGATTAACTCAGTAACTCAGGATTAGATAAGCAGTGTGTTACTGGATTTGAATCAGTAATTTCAACAGATTAGTAAACCCAAAAACTCAGGACAGTTATGATGTTTTGCAGGGATCCTCGGCAGGGGTCTCTACAATGTGTAGTTTTTTCTTACAATGCCCTGTTCTGATATCCATCCTTATTCCTGAACTGCTTGCTGGATGAACAAACAAACTTGGTAACATGATGGCTCACTATTTGGCAGGCAGACTAGCTTGAGTGGTTGCGGTTTAACTGTTTAATCTCAGCACATGCAGTGAGCTGTGAGGGTCAGACCTAATAAATGAATCTCTGGACAGCCACAGCAGACCATAGTTCTGAAAGAACAGTGCTGTTTCAGAGCCGTGTCAGAGTGTGTCTGCAGAGGGAGAAGAGACTAGATGAGTTAACCAGCTTAAATATTTGATGGGAAAAGAAGGTGCTTCATTACTGTCACCCCTAAAACAAAGCTTGCTCCTGCCCCCTTGTGACACCCGGTGTGTGTTTTTCTGAGCTGCTGCTCTGTGCAGCAGAAATGAAGTGCAGTTGGAGCCTCAGCAGTGTTGGGGGTCCATAACAGCACTGCTGAAGGGTCTTCAGTACTGACTTGACTCCTGTGCGGGCTTAGTGTGCTCCCCCCACAGGTAATATCATAATAATTTCAGGTGTTTTAGGGGAGATTGCTGTTGCTGCGATCATCAGCTGTGGATGGAATAGTATAAGGAAGAAGATTCAGAAAAGAGAGATAGAGAGACAGATACGGAAGTGCCAATCAATGCCAACGTAGATGGTCTAAAACAATACCATCCAAACACCAATGTCAGAATGAGCTAGATGATCTATCAGCCGCTGATAGATTATTTACTAATAAATGAAAACATGCGATTATGATATTGATCTCACTAACTGATCCATCTGTACAGACTGATGTTCACGGCTCTTCACATGAGGATCAGTTTAATATCTATCAGCCATAATTAACTGCTGTCAGTCAAAGCAGATTTGTAATTTATAATTAAGCATGTAAAAAGTAATGTTCTTATATAATAGATTACAGATGCACCATAAATTAAGCTAAAAATGTTGTAACCAATGCTGTCAGGGCCATGTCGGCACTGCTGCAATACTACATTTTTGTAATTTTCATTTTGATGTTATCCCAGTAAGCATTGAATCATGGGTAGTTGGTTAGAATGACTGCATTATCATCTGACTGTCACACATTTCCATGAAGTGGATGAGAAACTTAGAGGAGAGAAAAATTAGTTTAACAATGTTTTCAGATATAGTTCCTTCAAAAAGAACCAAAGTGAACCTGAAAGGGAACCAACTGCAAATGACCTCCAGTTCTGTTTGTGTTCACAATGTAAGAGAACTATAAAGAGAACTCAGTTTTCTTTCTGGTCTTTTGAGATTTTGGACCATTTTTTGTTCAGATCACAATACTAGTATTAATACTAGCATGAATAGTATTAGTGCTGATAACAGTGGAACTGTGATGTGCAGGGCACAATAATTTGGTGTGTTCTCTGCTGTATCAGATTTCATTCAACTAATCAGGGACTTCTTGTGTTAAAGTGGGTCTGTTGAAGCAGGACAAACTAAAAACATACCTGCCAGGGGGACTGCAGGATCCAAGCTGGGAGACACTAAAATCCTACCTGCTGGGGGACTGCAGGATCCAAGCTGGGAGACACTAAAGTATACTTGCTGGGGGGACTGCAGGATCAAAGCCGGGAGATGCTAAAATATACCTGCTGGGAGGACTGCAGGATCAAAGTTCGGAAGCGCTAAAAACATACCTGCCAGGGGGACTGCAGGATCCCAGCTGGGAGACTCTAAAATCTACCTGCCAGGGAGCCTGCAGGATCAAAGCTTGGAAATGCTAAAATATAGATGCGTTAAATATTGGTGGGTTATTATTGGGCAGTTCTTCCAAAGGCCCTGGACATTTTTTTCAGATACAAAGTATCACAGACTCAATCAAGTCTCGGAAGAAATAAATTCAATTCCTGGCTACCTCAGCCAGGAAGCTTAACACTGGCCATAGTTTGGTAAGCACTTGTATAGCAGCATTGTACCTGTACCTGTATAGCAGCAAGGAAAGGAGCATTAGTCTGGAACTAGCCATAATACAGGCACCAATGACAGTTCTAATAACTCATATTCAGGTGAGCAGTATAATATGTGGAAATTCAATTTAGCACACTGACAATAATATTACTACAGTCTGCATCATTTTATATGCAAGTACATTCTACTCATGCTAAAGAAAAAACACTGATTACACAATTCATAACAGGCTATTAAGAAAACTATTAATGCTGGAATTACATCCTCTTCCTGATCACTAAAAGAAGACATTATTGTAGTCTTTCAAAAAGAAAAAAGAACAAAAATATGCAATTCAGAGTTATATGAGAACTAACTACATCTTAGTGAAGCTTAAGACAATTTCAGTGACAATTGGGAGCAACAAATTCATGACTACAGACACAGAAAACCTTTTCAATATTTGATATTTAACCAAAATATGAGTCCTCTGAAAGCCTTAAATTTTAAACATATGACAGTTCCTACTTGAGCCACTGGATGACACTGTGGACATGTGTGACAGAAGCAGAGTCTTTTATCATAATCCATTTTATGGATTATTTATTTATTGTGTTGGGGCGGTATTTCAAAAGATTAATATTTTATGAAATTTAATAGGATTTATTTTCAAGTTTACAAGAACATAAAAACAAAAACATTATGTATAGAATCAAAGAGAAAAATGGAGAAAGATAATCTGAACAGGTTAATACGTTCACAAACACACATTACCTCAAATGCAAAGGTTTAACTAAAATGTTTAAAGAAAGAAATAGCAGGCTGAGAGAGGGAGAGAGAAAGAGTGAGAGAGAGAGAGAAGGATAAAGATCCAAGCACACTGTCAAATGTTTGTCAAAACATCCGTCACTGCACCAGTAACACTACATTAGCTTAGATCTACTGAATTAGAAAGTTAAGAGCTTCTTATTATTGAATGTGGAGCTTCTCGGTTTGTTTTCCACAGCATGAGCAGTGTGAACATTTTGGGGAGAACACGCAGTACCACACCTTCTCATTGGGTGTATGAGCTTAAGGCTTGACTTGATGTTCAGCACAGGACATAACATTTCATTTAATGCTTATGTTTTAGAAACAGTGTAAAACTAAAGAGGTGGTTTTCCCCAAAAATAGACAGAAATCTGGCCTGGAATCACTGCAGACCTTTACACCCGGGATGTGTAAGGTTACACTCACTACTGCTGATATTCTCCACAGCTTTTAGTGCACTTGTGTGTCTTTGCAGTGTTTGAATGCCTGAAATTTTTCCCACAATCTGAGCAGTGATACGGTTTGTCTTCTGTGTGAATGCGCTGGTGTATTTTGAGATGACTCTGTACAGTAAAACTCTTCCCACACTCGGAGCAGTAATATGGTTTTACTCCTGTGTGAATGCGCTGGTGCTTTTGGAGATTATTATTTTGAGTAAAACTCTTCCCACACTCTGAGCAGTGATATGGTTTCTCTCCTGTGTGAATGCGCTGGTGTGTTTGGAGATTACGCTGTATAGTAAAACTCTTCCCACACTCTGAGCACTGATACGGTTTCTCTCCTGTGTGAATGCGCTGGTGGTCTTTGAGACTACGCTGTTCAGTAAAACTCTTCCCACACTCGGAGCAGTAATATGGTTTTACTCCTGTGTGAATGTGCTGGTGCTTTTGGAGATTATTCTTTTGAGTAAAACTCTTCCCACAGTCTGAGCAGTGATACGGTTTCTCCCCTGTGTGAATGCGCTGGTGTTTTTGTAGATGACCCTGTCGATTAAAACTCTTCCCACACTCTGAGCAGTGATACGGTTTCTGTCCTGTGTGTATGTGCTGGTGTATTTTGAGATTACACTGTTGAGAAAAACTCTTCCCACACTCTGAGCAGTGATACGGTTTCTCTCCTGTGTGAATGTGCTGGTGTATTTTGAGATGATTCTCTACAGCAAAACTCTTCTCACACTCTGAGCAATGATATGGTTTCTCTCCTGTGTGAATGCACTGGTGTATTTTGAGATGACTCAGTACAGTAAAACTCTTCCCACACTCTGAGCAGTAATATGGCTTCTCTCCTGTGTGAATGCGCTGGTGTATTTTGAGAGTACCCAGTTGAGTAAAACTCTTCCCACACTCTGAGCAGTGATACGGTTTCTCTCCTGTGTGGATGCGCTGGTGCTTTAGGAGATTACTGTGTTGACAAAAACTCTTCCCACATTCTGAGCAGTGATACGGCTTCTCTCCTGTGTGAATCCGCTGGTGTGCTTTGAATTGACTCTGTACAGTAAAACTCTTCCCACACTCTGAGCAGTGATACGGCTTCTCTCCTGTGTGAATGCGCTGGTGTATTTTAAGAGCACTCGGTACACTAAAACTCTTTGCACACTCCAAACCGTAGTGATTTCTCTCCTTGCTGCGTTTCTGTGTTTGTCTGTGAGATGTCTTTATGTGGAGGGTACCAGATGACATTTGCTGAGTATGTTTTCTTGATGCCATATTCTTTTACCTCGCCTGTTTCAGCAGCTTAACTTTCCTCTTGGTGGAATGTCCTGTAGTGTTTATGGAAGCACGTTTAAACTGAGTAGGAAAGTGTAGGAGAAGTCTTGAAACAGGCTATCATTCATTTCTGCAAGAAGAAGAAAAAAGGAAAATATAAACTCAATTTTGCAATGCAACAAAACTAGTCAAATTCAAATCGACAATTACCTCAACTGGCAGAAAGTTTAAAGAAAGAATAAACTTTCATCTGATGTGGAAAAGCCAATAACCTAATAAATCAAACTCCTTAAATATACATATAGACCACTGAAGCCATGTCGCTATGCCAATATTGGAAATTGCAGGGCTAAACTGGATTTCTCCTTGGCTAAAATGACTTGGATCATTCAAAAACCACCACCATTTCATACTGTCATCAAATTTGCAGATGACACCACAATTGTGGGCCGGATCTCCAATGACAATGAGGAGGCCTACAGAGAGGAGGTCAGCTTCCTGACACACTGGTGCCAGGAGAGCAACCTCTCTCTCAATGTCAACAAGACCAAGGAGCTCATAGTGGACTTCAGGAAACAAGAGAAAGTGCACACCCCCATCTCTATCAATAGAGCCACTGTAGAGAGGGTCTGCAGCTTCAAGTTCCTCTGTGTTCACATTTCAGAGGAACTGACATGGACCAAACACACCACACAGGTGGTAAAGAAGCCACAATAGCACCTCTTCTACCTCAGGCAGCTGAGGAGGTTTGGCATGAATCCCTGCATCCTCAGAACATTTTACACACGTACTGTGGAGAGCATGTTAACAGGCTCCATCACCACCTGGATTTGGTTCCCAAACCTCCTGGATTTATACACCAGCTGCTGCCTGAAGAACACCAGAAGGATTCTAATGGACTCCACCCACCCAAGCCACTGTTTACTCTCACAGCTGCCAAGTGGGAGAAAAAACAGAAGCATAAGGTCCAGGACCAGCCGGTTCCAAGGCAGTTTCTTTCCCCGGGCCATCAGGCTGCCGAACAGCCAGTAGTGCTGGTGCATCAGTCTATGAGCCTGTCACTACACGTCTGAACCATCATCATGATGATCTCCATGGACAATCCACACTGCATCCACACCTCAAACAGACTCAATTTGATCTCACTGTAACTACAGTCTAGCAAATCTATGCTTGCACATATAGATGCACATCTACTCATATCTTGCATAATCTGGATATGTACATATCAGTATTCTATCAGTATTGAGAACTTGCCGTTGTGGGACTAATAAAGGATTATCTTAGCCCCTGTGTACTCTGCATCTCATTTATCTACATCAGATTCATAAATTGCATACATGGAAAAGTGTAAAACTGTACATATTACAGCTTTTAATTTCATAACTATATTAGTTTGCATAACTGTACATTGGAAATAGTGGAAACAGTTTCTTTGAGCCCATCTCTCTTTCATTTCTGAGATCAGTGGTTTTTCACATGAAGCTTACATCCTCTCCCAGTTATATCATCCCCACTTCTCTCTTGAAAGAAATACTTGACACATTAAGTCCCAGTTTGTTATTCATAATCAATATCTTCTGACACTGTTCCTGCTTGATTCAAGCATGCTGCTGTCCAGCCTTTACTTAAAAAGCACAATTTTGCGCTTCAGCACATGGTAGGCCTCAATGGGACAGTGCTGAGCTGGTTTAAGTCCTATCTTTGTAACTGAACTTTTACAGTACACATTGGTAATTACCATTCCTCTACTTCTACCATCAGTTGTGGAGTTCCTCAAGGATCCATTTTAGGTCCAGTGCTGTTTTCATTATACATGCTTCCACTTGGAAAGATCATTAGAAAGTATGATATTAGCTAGATTGCTTAGCCAGCTAGCTAACTAAATTCAGTTTTTTGCTTTGTTATTTAAACCTGGGCGAATATCCACCACACTACCACTCCCCGCTTTAGGGGACAAAAACTCTTTTCCTTTATTTTACTGCTATTTACAGTTTATGATCGTGTAGATATTGTAGGACATATTCCAAGTAGTGGTGAAGCTGTGTACTCCACCCACCCTTTAGCTATGCCCTCCAAACACTCAACCTACCTAAGTGAAGAAACGATAGGTGGTGACGAAAAGGAAGAGGGGAAAAAGAAAAAAGAGAAAAAAAATGAATAACACAATCATTCAAGGAAACCGACCCTTATGTTCTACAATATATTGAGAGTTAATATTTCGTCCCACACTCTCTCTGTGAAAACTTTAGAAACACATGTATAAGTTCACTTACGTCATGGTCATAGTATGTATAATGTTGGGGAAAAGCTCTTAATATATTGTAAAAAGTGAGGGCAGGTTTCCTCGAATGATTTAGTGTTACTTATTTATTTAGATCTGCTCTGAGTCAGTCCAGGTTGGCGTGATCCATAAGGAGGTCGAGCCGGTGCTTTATGGAGGTTTGGGTTCTGTCTTTCCAGTTCAGTAGAAAATTTTTTAAGCAATGGTGAGTGACATTAATATAAAGGATTTAAGATATTTGGGAATTGTTAATGAGACGTCATTAAAGAGGAATTCAGAGTGGTTTGGTGTGAAATAGTTCTGATTTCTTTACAGTGGTCGCCATGACTACAACACAAATATAGCCATTTTATTTACTATTCAAAACCACTAGTGAACCTACAAGTGTCTTCTGAGCTTTTACATAGAATGTTGATGATGCTAAAATAGTGGAAAATCTGAAATATGAGCTTTCTTTTTCTTAGGGGACTAAAATTCATAGGAGACTATTTTGGCTAACAATACCCTGCATGTTCCTCCCCAGCATGAAGATATTAAAAAAATGCTTTGCATCAAAATTTTCATATATTCAGCATATTCATAACCATTTCATGTAATAAATTTCTATGAGTGTTCAGAGCAGGGGTGTCCCATCTGATCAGCAAAGGGCCAGTGTGGCTGTGTTTTTATTCTAACAAAGCAGGAGCTCACTTGTTGATCAATTGTTTGAAAACTGAGACCAAAAGATGAAAGAAAAGTCAGGTGTGGAAAATAATAATAAATAAATAAATAAAAAAAACTCTTTTTACCTCAAACACCAATGAATCTGTATTTAATTGTACTGAAGTACTGTTTACTGTTAAGAACAAAGATTTGCAGGAAGAATGATTTCAGCATGAATATAACTACCCACCCAATCACATCTCAGCTAGACACACTACACCTTATATAGGGTGGTTGTTGTCGAAAAAGGAAACAGAACATATTGTCCTTTTTTAAAATGATCTCATCTATCTGGAACTAAGAGAGGAAGGGAGAGGAAGAGAGAGGGGCCCATTCCCTATGGGACCTTGACCCTTGGACCTTTGGACCAGGGGCCCCCTAAATTAACATTCCAAACCTGCAACGTCAGATAACACATGGAACTCCGAATACTACAACCTTCTCTAGAACAAACTACTATTTATTCTCTACATTCATACATATAATGGACTCTTTGGTATTTGATGATCAATTTGGTAGACTTTGTTTATATTTAGCTACACTAGCTAGATTCCATTGTTAACAGCGGTTACTATCCCAAACTGTTATCTGGCTGACATAAAGCAGCTGTCTGAATCACATTTACCTGAGATTTTTGTACTCATGTCTTTAAAAGGCTGACGCTCCAAACAACAAACCACCAACAATGTAATTTCTCTAACATCAGCTCAATATAAACGCCTAACCTTAGTGTAAAGTCTACTTGTGTTTAAGTTTACCTTATTAATAAAAGATCTCAAGATACAGTGAAGTTCACATAATTCACAATTTACTGAAAGAACTGAAAGTCAATATATGTGATTCATGCCATTATAAAAACATAGATCTGTAATGTAGAGGATCAAGTTCAACCTTAAAAAGACTCACTACAACCAGAACAAATTACTAGTTTGGTTGAATCATTTGTTATAGGATAAACACTAACTTTAAGATTATACTAAGCAGTGAAAGATTAATCCATATCCTACAAATACATACAAAAAGAATATTCACTTAATTACATGATCAACCGCTGCAGCCAGTGTATAAACCCACTTTAAGCTTTGTGTATTCTTATAAAAACACCTCCATATCATACACAGAAAGGGAAAAGCCACATCTGCTGCTCCTCAGACATACAGCCCATTTACAAACCACCATCTGAGACACCCAAACACACACAAATTAAGATATTTACATTAACTACCCGAATATTTCAGACACCAGACATTAATAAACACAGCGTGAAGACACACATAAGTTCCCCCAAACCCGATCACAGCAGCTCCTCCTCTAAATCACTGCAGGATGAGCAGCATTTCCATCAATGAGGCTCTAACAGACATTTAAAGACCCTCATCAGTCAGTTAGACCGACATATAAAGACTGAAACCAGCTTAAAGCAGCACTTACAGCTCTTTAATCTCAGACTGAGTCTCCGTTTCAGAGTCTCCCCCAAACACACCGCGCTGTGTGGAGACTACAACAACAGCGAGCGGAGTCCGACCACAACCGGAAGTGTACTTTTCAAAATAAAAGTTTCTAGCGCTCAATACGTTTTAGTTAATATGAATAAATATGCATGTTAATAATTCACGTTCTAAAAATGTTATAAAACACTTTATGGTTTTACATCAAACAAGTGTCACCACACATCTCTCAGACTGTGGGTCTGAAATGCTTTATAGCCTGTTGCATTTACATTAATGAAGGAAGGGGAGTTTTAACTGCCTAGTGTGTAAACAATTCACTGTGTCAACATAAACCCACACTGAAATGAAATCACCAGACCCTCCTCTGTCTGGAAACATGGAGTTTTATACCAAACAAGCGTCACCACACATGTAGGAGTACTATGGGTGTGACATTCCTTATAGCCTATTGTTTTATATTAATAAAAGATGGACATAGTTTGTGTGTTGTTTGTTTCTTCACTGTTATTATTAATTTGTCAGTTTGTAAATATTTTTTGTTTAGTTGTGTGTGAAAAAATGTGTTAATTAAAAAGTAATTGCTGAAAACTGTTGGTGACTGTTTAAAAGTCCTAGGTATGCTATGGGGGTGAAGTAGTGATGGTACACTCTGTATACTCAGCACTCCATACATACCCTACTAAATTCTACTAAATAAATAAGCAAATAAATAAAATGTCATGAAAATATGGAGATTATTGACCAAACAATAAAATTATGAATCAAATAATCAGAATAAAGAATTATGAGAAACTTTATATAGTTAAACATCATTGTTATATTAAATTTATTAAAACAAGCATTAAAACAAAGATCTTTTTCCTCAGTATATATGTTATAGTTTGCAAAAATACTAATTGTTCACCTTATAAAAAAATAGCAGTTGAAAATCAGATGAAAAAATGTGAAAATTTATATCCATACAATAAATATTAAAACACCTTAACTGCAGTGCGATTCATAGAACTTTTTGTCTAGCACATACCCTGATAGCAAGAGGACAGTGGACCACTGTCGGTCTGCTGATGAGCTGGTGGTCCACTGGCGTTTTGCTCAGCGTTTTCTAGGTGGTCCACTGGCAATTAAGCAGAGTATTTTAGAGTATAAAATTTCACTTATCATCACTCCTTTTCTACTCTTGGTCCAGTTTACTTATTTTTCCTTCCTTCCTGTCTTTAGTTATACTTTATAAATTAGTTTAGTAAATAATTTTACTGTAGCTCAGTGTCAGCAACAACATTTACTATAAAATCATTTTACAGGCCTCATCAGTATTTTTGTCTCTCAGCTGTTTGTAAAATTTGTGTACGTTTTTTCTAAAATAAAAGTCTCTGCGCATTTAAAATCTGTTTGAGGAGAATAAAAACTAGTTAGAGCTTATATGCAGGACAGTAATCCAGGTGGTCCGAGGGTGAACCAGCAGTAGCAAACAGTCAGTGGGTTGCTGACCTTATCAAGCCAGCGGACTGATATATGCTCGCTATCTGGGTATTCTCATGGCTGATTCCCATACGTTTTAAATGTCTACTGAGACAGCATAGAAATATCAGGGCGTGCAGTTATTTGATTTTATGAAAATCTCTTTAAACCAGTGGGGCTTAGCTCCACTCCTGGTGGGTGGAGTCCAACACAGTTTGGAAATGTCATCTATTGCTTAGCTGAATTCTGTTACAGCAAGAAAGTTACCAAACAGGGCTGGACTAAAACCGGGATTGGAGTTGAACACCCCTCACATTACACTCTTCTATTTCATGTCATCTAAAATGTTTCAAGATACAATTGATTTAGTTTAAATATGAGTTGAAAATGTGTAGATGACACTATAAGCTACAGCTATACAATTAATTCAAGGAGTTTTAAATAATAAAGCTTTTGATGGAGAAGTTCATACAACAAATGGATTTAGTGGATTTTTGCAAAATGGATTTTGCAAAACGGATTTAGTGGAACATTGAATAACACTGCCTTTGTAAAGAAGCACACAAAAAGACCCCAGTCGCCACCACACATTTGCCTCCAAAAATGAGGGCACTTGTGATAAAATTCGTATTGTAAAGACATGTCTATAATTGTTCCATGTAATGCCAAATATTGGACAACCATATTTTTTTGTATTTTAGGAAGAACTTTCAGAGTTTCATGTTCATATGACTTTAATGTTTGTCTAACAGATTTTGTGTCATATTGAAAACAGCAGTAACTCAGTGTACAGAGCCTATATTACCTGGAATAACTACAGTGTTATCTCCACCAGTGTCTTTTGACTTTTGGATCATCTGGCAGAATTTCTATCTTTTCACAGTATGAGCTGCAAAGCTGTTGATCTGCAGATGTGGATCGGCATGTCAACACCTCTTTTTCCTTTACCTTTTCTTACCTTTTTATCAACTCTAACTCCTCATCAAATGCATTTTTTTGAAGATCATAATGGTTCATCTGAACGTTTGTAAGGGTTGGTTATCTCACATGGCTCTGTACATTCATGTTTTGTCTCCTACCATTTTAAAGTTAAATCTCCAGTCTTTGCACTTACTGAAAATATAAAACTGTTAGAAAAAGTACAAAAATAAAAGGTGAAAAAAGTAAAGATAAAGTGCAACCCAGTATTTCTGAGGACACTTTAAAGTGTATTCTGTCTGACTTTGCAAGCTTTGCAAATTTTTGTGTTGACATCCCAAATTCCACTACTTTTACTTCCTCAGAGGAGGAGTGGCATAAACTACGTACAGAACAAAGGAGTGATATTTAAAACCCTATCACCTCGGGTGTTTTCTATGAAAAACACAAAGAATCCATACTGCATACAGCTGTCCAAGAACCACTCATTTAGCACATCATCCTCCTCCATCAGCAGCAGTATCCCCCTCACTCCCTCACCATCTCCACTTCTTCCACGCCCCTATTCACTCCCCGCCAGCCAGTGTGTGAAGTCTTGCACCCCAACCCCCCCCAACGAGGTGACAATCAGCCAGGTGAAGAGACAGCTGGAGAAGCTGAAAGTGAGCAAAGCTACTGAACCGCATGGGATCAGCCCGAGAGTATTGAAGGTCTGTTCGGCTCAGCTATGTGGGATTCTTCAGCATCTCTTCAACCTGAGCCTTAAACAAGGGTGTGTACCTGTGCTGTGGAAAACATCCTGCCTGGTTACTGTTCAACACTTGACACTTTACTTGACAACAAACTGAACTGGAGGGCCAACACAGCAACAACACAGCTGTGTACAGGAAGGGGATGAGCAGACCCTACTTTCTGAGAAGGCTCAGGTTCTTTAATGTGTGTAGCAAGATGTTGGTGATCTTCTACCAGTCTGTTGCTGTGGGTGCTGTCTTCTTTGCAGCAGTCTGCTGGGGAGGCAACATCAGAGGGGGAGATGCAAAAAAGCTCAACTAACTGTTTAAGAAGGCTGGCTCAGTCTCGGGCTGCTCACTAGATGGTTTTGCGGTAGTGGTTGAAAGGAGGTCACTTAATAAACTCCCTGCTATCCTGAACAATACAACATACCCCCTTCATGACCTACTGGTCAGACAGCGGAGCACCTTCAGCAATAGACTTATTCAGCTCTGCTGTAGTAAGGAACGGTACAGAAGAACCTTTTCACGGTGCCGGGACATTATTGTATACCGAGCCACTGACAGGACAGGCTGTCTGGGCACCAGCTGGACATTAAATTATATTTCTCTACTCATATTACTGTGCACTGCAACTTTGTTTATACACTTATATGCATTGCATATTATACTGACACTCTGTGTATACATCCATAAATATTGCACATTGCCCTATCACTTTGCTTATACATCCATAAATAGTTCATATTGCACAACTGTTAACATTTGTCATCTTTTACAGTGCATAATCACTCGGTTCATTCACTGGAGGAGACGTGCACCACTGCAATGTCAACTGCATAGTATTTATGCAATTTTACTATTTATTTTTGTACTGTACATTATATTTTATCTTGGTTTTTGTTTTTTTATTATTTTCTTCACTCTATTTATGCATCTGTAAATAGCTTACGCCAATATTTTGCTCCTGTTTAGCTCTTGTTTTGCTGCTGTACTCTACTAGCCATCAGTGGTCTATTTGGTATTTAAGGAATATAAATCATAAGGTTATTGGGTTTTTCCACATGACATGTAAGTTTATTCTTTCTTTACACTTTCTGTCAGTTGGTGTAGGTGAAGCATTCTTGATTAGACTAGTTTTTAGACTAGTTTTGTTGCATTGCAAATTGAGTATATATTTTCTTTTCATTTTCTTCTAGAAATTAATGACGTCCTGTTTCAAGTCTTCTCCTGTACGTTCCTACCCAGCTTAAATGTGCTTCCGTAAACACCTCAGGACATTCCACCAAGAGGAAAGTTAAGCTGCTGAAGCAGTTGAGATAAAAGAATATGGAGTCCAGACGACATTCCCATACTCAGCAAAAGTCATCTGGTTCCCTCCACGTGAACACATCTTGCAGACAAACACAGAAACACAGGAGAGAAACCGTATCACTACTCAGAGTGTGGGAAGAACTTCAGGCTTTCAAAGACTGTAAAAACACACAAGTGCACTAAGGACAGTGTTGGAAATCAGCAGTAATGAGTGTAACCTTAACACAGTCTGAGAGGAAAAAAGTCAACAGGAAACAGTGATTCCAGACCAAATTTCAGCCTGTTTTTTGGGGACAACCACCTCTTGTTTTTTTTTTGCAGTTTTTTTGCAGTTTTTAAACAATCTAAGCCTAAAATTAAGTGTAATTTCCTGTGCTGAACACAAAGTCAAGCCTAAAGCTCATCCACCCAATGAGAAGGTGTTGTACTGCATATTATCCCCAAAATTAGTTTTATTTCTATTATATGTGGAAAACAATCAAGAGGCTCCACATTCAGTATTAAGAGGCTCTTTTTAATTTAGCAGATCTAAGCTAGTGTAGTGTTTCTGATGCAATGCTGGATGTTTTGACAAACACTTTGTTTTGGTTTAGTTAAGCCTTTGCATGTGAGGCAAAGCGTGTTTTTGTAAACATGTTAACCTGTTGAGATGTTTTTACTCCATTTTCTTTATTATTATTGTTTTCATTTTTTTTAATTCTTCTTCTGAAATTCACTGTTTACTAAAGAACTGGTCCATTTTGCTGTCACATGACAAGCTTACACTTGTTTTTAAACCACCACCCTCTACGGGGCCAGCCAACAAGTCTACCTAGGCGTCGACTTTTCCGACTGTATTAAACCCTACCCTCCCACCTTCACACCATATACACTCCAGAAAGTTGTGAAGCCCCCCCAGGGAATCTACAGCTCTTTCTTCTTGTTTGAATCAAGCCATGATATGGTTGAAACCTCTATCATAAAACTGCTTCTCAATATAAACTTAAAACTAACCCTAAAGACAAGAACTCTTTATGACGACCCAGAGAGCTCAAGAATCACACCCATGCTATGCTCCAAAGCAGAGAAATAAATTTTCATAAAAGACTCTGCCTCTGTCATGTGTCCACAGTGCCATCCAGTGGCTGAAGTGGGAAGTGTCATATGTTCAAAATCTCACACTTTCAGACGAGTTATATTTTTGGTTAAACGTTAATTATTGAAAAGGTTTTCTGTGTCAGTTGTCATGATTATGTTACTTCCAATTAGAAACTGTCATAAACTTAACTAAGAGCTAGTTAGCCTCATATAACGCTGAATTCATAATAGCCTGTTATGCATTGTGTAATCAAAATGTTTTTCTTTGTTTCTTCTTTTTGAAAGGTATATTCTTTAGTGTAAATAGAATGTATTTGCATAAGAAAGGATGCAGATTGTAGTAATATGAATGTCAGTTCGCCATATTGACTTTACATGTATTATACTGCTCGCCTGAATGTGAGTTATCAGAACTGTCATTGGTGACTGTATTATGGCTTCTTCCAAACTAATGCTCCGTTCTTTGTTGTTTCTTTATTGCTTAATTGTCTGTATTGATAACATTCTTTATTGTTTATCTTTTCTATCTTTCTTTCAAAATATTAACAACTTATTTGAGTTGCAATAATAAAAAAGCCAGAAAATCATATCAGAAAACAAATATTTTTCTGAAATGTAATTTAATTTAATAAGCTCCCTGTACAAAACATGAATCACTTTGTGTGTTTAAGGTGGTAGTAACTTCAGGCTACTGCAGATGCTGTTGCACAAGGATGGTCGGGCTATAAATACCTGTGGGGTGTGCGATGGGATTCATAGATTGAGAAGAGGTGGTACAGAGCAGTGAATGTCTTATTCGATGTGTGGAAAATGGGTCGCAAAGCAGATGTTAGTGATTGGCTAAAAGGAGTGATTGAATTTGGGCCAAAGGCCATAGTGTGAAGGAAATAGCTGAATTTGTAGGTGTATTGAAGCATATGGTCATACGGGTCTACCAGCAGTGGCAAAAATCCCAGGGCACAGGATATACTCGTCAGAATTGTCGGCGAAAGATGAAACTGATGGACAGGGACTGCCGGTGTGTTTCACGGCTCGTAAATAAAAAGCGCTTCCCAGCGAGTTCTTTCAGAAATTGGTTGCCTGAAAGTAAAGCAATTTTTATTCACAAGCTGTGAAACATGCCAGCGGTCCCTCTCTTACACACCCAGCATTGCTCACAGCCTACAGTTTACCCATTTAAAATACAGCCTGGTTTAGCTGCTGTTTTGGAGATAAATGGTTGTGAACAGCTACAAGAAATCTAGTCTAACACAGGTTCTTCATAAGTCATTGTTTAAGCCTGATCTGATCCCTCCCCACCTTCTCTCTGTCTCTGTCTCTCTCTCTCTCTTCCGCCCTCTCTCTGTCTCTCTCTGCCTTGGTGTTTGTCTTTAGCTGTGAGAGGCTGTTTAACTGTAAAATGAAGTAATAATGTCTGATTCTGTATGAAGTGATCAGCAAGCTGGGTAAGTTGCTGATGTTCCTGCTGATTTTAATGGTAGAAAAAAATCAGTGAAAATGGGCAGCAGGACTCTCACTAAAATTACATTACTGATTAAGCAATCTACTCATAATTTTGGCTCAGTTTTTTCTCTTAAATGAACTTCATTAAACAGTAATATTCTCTGCACAGTCTTTCAGGGATTTTAAATGCTTTACTGGACACAGATAAACTAGGAAGTCTTATATAATTATCTAACCATGAAATGCATGCAGTTTAATCTAAACCTTGTTCCTTACACAGTTCACAGAAAGGTGTGTAAATGTGCACTAGCAGAGCGGACTGTGATCAGTCTCAGCTCTCAGAACTTTTTTCTCACATAATATCATGTTTGCAGTAGTGTTTTTCTGTGCAGATTATTTCCAGTGATGTAGCCAAGTCAACTATTTTCAGGTTGTGACAGCAGAAGTACAAAAAAGTAACTTAGTAACTTGAGTACTTTGGTAGTTTTTCAATAAACTACTGATTTACTTTTACTTGAGTAATTTTGTTTACTAATACTTTTACTTGTACTTGAGTAAATGATCACTACAGTAACAGTACTTACAGTAGACAACAGTAAACAGTAGACTTTCAGTACTATTTACACCGCTGGTTGCTGTACTATCCGAAGTGAGTGCTAGGGTGTTGCTAGGAGGTTACTTTGGTGTCCAGGATCACTGCTATGGTGTTGCAAGGTGTTTGGTATGGTATCCATGTGCATGGCTGTAGACTTCTGGTTGCTGCAGTGTTGCTATAGGGTTGCTATAGTATAACAGAGAGTTGTTAGGGTGTTGCTAGAAGGTTTCTATGGTATCCAAGGTGGTTGCTAGTGTGTTGCTAGGTGGTTGCTATGGTAACACGGGTGGTTACTAAGGTGTTGCTAGGCGGTTGCCATGGTATCTGAGGTGGTTGCAAGGGTGTTTTTAGGTGGTCGCTATGGTATCCCAGGTGGTTGCTAGGGTGTTGCTACGAGGTTGCTATGATGTCCAAGGTGGTTGCTAAGGTGTTGCAAGGTGGTTGCTATGATGTTGCAAGGCATTTGGTATGATCTTCCAGGTGATTGCTATGGTATTCCAGGTAGTTACTAGGGAGTTGCTATGCAGTTTCTGTGGTATACCAGGTGGTTGCTACGGGGCTTCTAGACAGTTGCTATGGTATTCTATGCAGTTGCTAAATTGTTGCTAAGAGTTGCCATGGTGTATGAGGTGTTTATTGACAGTTGTCAGCTGTTGGCTATGTGTTGTTGAAAATGAATGAAAAATAAAAAACAAACAGATGAGTCAGAATGGGGGTCAGAACAACATTGAATTCATGCTCGGGGGCCTGCCCTGAGACAGTATATGCAAAACTAATTACACCACCTGTTGTTTACACATAAGTAGTCAAAATTGTCATGTGTTATGTAATTGCAGAGATTACTCATTTAACAAAATATGCACTTTCACTAAATCTGTGCAATAACAGTGTAAGCAGTAGTTTCATGAAGGTGGTGCTGTACAAACTTTAGAACTGACAGAATACTAATATGAATCCTGTAAACATTAAGTGCTCATTGACATATATAACTCCCATGATTAGATATAACCAAGATGAGTCTTTGATTATTTTATTTATTTGGTTAGATTCTGATCTCTGAAGGTTAGGAAACATATAGAGTCCCAATGAAATTTGAGATGCTACTTCAACATCAGCAGTATGAATTCTATCTACAGCTGATTCAGAATTGAACCAAGTCATAAATCAAAGACAGGTAAATCTAGTTATGGCAATTAAGTCAGTAAATAAGTGCTTTAATATTTCTAATATTACTGACAACATTAACAGCAGAAAACATCTGAGTCTGATTGAATTTGAGCTAATGTTGGTGAAGAGCTGAGCTACAGTTGTGTTTTTCACAAGCCTTAGAAAGACAGACTTCTGCTTGTCTACCTCTCTGACCAGTCAGTGATTATGTGTTTGTATTTATGTTCAGGTCTGTCATTGGTGATGTGGAGAAGGACATGTGAGTGCACAATCATGGGCATTTACACAATTTGAAGAAATAGTATTGAGGATGACACTGAGCCAGGAGACGCTGGCATTGTGATAAAGGGCATTAGTATGCTCAACAATCTTAGAAGTGCATTCATCATGGATGAATGAATTTTGATCTCAGCTCTTTGGGCTGTTTTTCTCCAGCTCTGCTGTCGGCTTTGTGGTGCTTTAGTAAAGAGCATAAAAGAATGAACTTGTGCTTGTCCTCCTGATTAGGATGGGTGTCTGTGCTGACAGGTGGGCATATGTCAGGTTTAACTGGCAAGTATGCAACAGTGCACCTCAGTAACGCAGAACTAACATACTGAGTACATTAATGAATTACTGTCAACAGGGAGTAAATAAATTAATATATACAGTACTACAGTACTTTAACATTAATGAGTCAATCAACACTGTTTTAGAGTAACAACGCTAACACTGATGAAAGTGTTACACTAAAATACCTGAATTTTATTCATTTTACTGCATTTGGAATTTTACAGAAATATATTTAGGGTATATACAGCACTGTGAAAAAAACTCCCTGAACAGTGTTTAAACCATTTATCTCAGAAGTGAGTGTGATTTTACATCTACATACTATTAGAATAAATGAAAAAACATCAGTACAGTAAACAGTAACACAGTTTGTGTATGTATATTAAATGTGTTTCTATAATTTTGTGTGTATATATATATATATATAATATACATTTCATATTCAAAAACATGGTCATGTATTTCTGTTCTGTTTAGTGAATCTTTTTTTCTGAACTCACATTTTAGAGAAAACAGTCTATTTTTATTCTCTTTTTACTTATTTTTTTTATTCCTTACATATTTTCATGAGCATGCTCTCTCTCTCTCCCTGTGTTATTTTATCTCACACAGACTCACTGAGGAGTCAGGAGGAACACAGAATCCAGCGTAGAGCGGTTCAGTGAATGTGGTGGTGAATGTGTGTAGGTGGGTCAGTGTGTGTGTGTCAGGCGAGATGGTGTAGAAGGACAGGGAGCCAGACACCCAGTCCAGATACACTCCTACTCTGTTAGAGGGGGAGGGGGGTGCAGGTAGGTCAGTTCTCTGATTATTGTGTCTGACAGAGTAACTATTATTATAGCACTCCAGACTCCATGACTGATTACTGAGTCCAAACACACAGTCATCGCTGACTCCTTTTCTCCTGATTCCTCTGTATGATAGTGATATTTCAGCTCCTTCACTCCACTGAACCTCCCAGTAACATCGTCCAGTCAGACTCTCCACACTCAGAACTTGCAGCTGGTACTCAAATCTGTCTGGATGATCTGGATACAGCTGATCTTCTCCCATATACTCCACCTTTCTGTTCCTCTCAGACAGCGAGAGATCACTGTTCACTGTGTTTGGATCCAGAGTGAGATCACACACATCTGTACACACACATAGAGGAGACAAAAACAGATAGAACTGTTGTGGATGTGTGTGTGTGTTGTGAGTGTGTACATGTGTATGGTGTGTACACATGTACACACCATACACATGTACACACATGTATGATAAATATGTGTGTGAGTGTGTATGTTTGTATATGTGTATGGGTGTGTGTGTATATAGTAGGAGTCTTTAGGCACCTCACGATTTGATTACGATTCAGAGGGCTGCAATGCGATTATAAAACGATTATCGATGCATCTCGATGCATCTTTTTTCTCTCTACAGGATTTCTATTTTCTTACAATCTGAGAACTTGGTAGTTTTAAAACAAAGTATTTGTAATGATGCATAATGCACTTACATCCAATATCTTTTATTAATAAGACAAATGGAAGTGATGTGGCAAGTGAACTAGAAGGCTCTCATTCGCTGCTCTTGTTTGGAGACGCTGCTACCACTCCTCTGTGATAAAATGCACTGTTACGGTGAAATAAGATCCAGTGATAATGGATGACCACGCAGCACATTATAGCTGTCCTACCCATTTTCTTTAGTGATTTTATAACTTCGGTTTTGGTCTCGTGATAGAGGGGCAGGGGCTCGAAAGACTGCAGGTCACGTAGCAACGAGGTTTCGCCGAGCGAGTAGCGAACGAAAAGGAAAAGAGAAAGACAGACGAACATCTGGAGATGAATGGACTTATTTGCATTTATAAGCAGCGCACTTGGTTTCCTGGTACGTTAAATCTGCAACGAGAGACTGTCAAACACTAACTAAAAAGTTGCGAAGATGAAGTCGCTTCTCTGTCTAATTTTCCTGTTCCATCTTAAATGGTGCCGCAATTACATTCGGCGTCTCAGTCAGAATTTAAGGTGGAACGGAGAGTGAGAAGCGACTTCAGCCTCGTAAAACAGCCGAAAGCTGAGAGACATTTTACAAGAAACTATTCAACTTTTGAGGAAAAGTTTTCTGGCGGAGATGGAAGAAAAGCGGCTATAGCTAACGCTAAAGCTTAAAGCAGAGCAGAGTAAGTCTGTGTTTTCATTTATATTGTTTAGCCTAAACTAGGACTTTAACACATACTGACACATACTGGACATTAAATGTTGTGGCTCCCAAGGTGGTTTGATTTTTGTTGAAAGGTCAAAATGGCTCTTCTTATCATTTGTGTTGTGACTCCTGACCTCACCTGGCTTTAATGCAGAGGGAGCCGGTTGGATTTCTCACTCATCCAGTAGTGTTTTTGTTATGTGCCGCCACAGACTGTCCGGGCACTACACTTACCCACTTCCAAGTTCCGATTTTTGTGAATCGATTCAGAATTGTCCACGTCTGCATCGCGATGCACCTAAGAATTGATTTTTTCCCACACCCCTAGTATATAGTATGTATTGTATATTGTGTGATTATGTATAGTTTGTCTTTGTGGGTGTACAGTGTGTATAGTGTGTACAGGGTGTTTGTGTGTTACATTTCTTCAGTCCTGGTTTCATCCTGATTTTCCCTCCATGATCCACCCTGAAGAACAATCACACCTATTTATATATTCATTAAACTTCATATCAATTTAAAACTAAAACACCATTAAAGAATAAAACAGATAATTACAGTATAAAACATCCCCTCAGATCTTGCAGTCCAGATAAAACTAAACTAAAATAAAGAAAAAAAACAGATCAATCAAACTAACCATGTTAGTTAGTTTTAAATTACACTGCCAGGATAGTTAGCTGTAAGGGACCCTGCTAGGCTAGTTAGCATGATGTCACATCATTGCTAGAATAGTTAGCTCTAAATTACACTGCTAGGCTAGCATGTCTGTAAGAAGTTTAATTTAGTGTGTAAGATGTGTTCAGTCTATAAGAAGTTAAACTCAGTGTGTAAGATGTGTTCAGTCACAATTCAAAAACACATCTACAGTAAAATATTACAGTCAGTAATGTGTATATTTAAAGTCAGTGTATAGATACAGTAAGTCAGTAACTCACTGTAGCTTCTCCAGTGTGCAGTGTGGATCCTCCAGTAGATCAGAGAGCAGCTTCACCCCAGACTCTCCTGGGTGATTATAGGTCAGATCCAGTTCTCTCAGGTGGGAGGGGTTTGATTTTAGAGTTGAAGCCAGAGAAGAACAGCCTTCGTCTGTAACCATACAACCAGACAATCTGCAGAATGGAAGGTAAAAGAGGGACAGATGGCATTTACAACACCAAAGACAGACAAAGAAAACTGGCTACAGCTCTCCACATTGAAAAGCCTTTTAAAGAGACCCAAACACCTGCAAGCTGGGGTGTCTCAGTAACCAATTAGGTCAGAGCTCTGCCTCCCATTTTTACCTGCAGCCCACTCAGGACAAAACAAATCGGAGGGTCAGGTGGGTCGTCATACCACCTCCCTCAAAAAAAGAACTGGCATGAACCCACATGAAAATAAACTTTATCCACCACCAACCACTGAGATATGCAAAAAATATTAATTTTGGACATCTCCCATCCAGTACATCCTTCCACTACCTGGACCATGGGATGTCAGTAAAGACAGCAAAAACAGAACACCAATAACATGTATAAGCATTAAGACACTGGTTCCTGTGACAATGCTTCAACTATCACATTGTCAGTAACTTTAATGTGAATAGTAAGAACATAAGGTTGTAAGAAAAGGCACCAGCACATCAGGCGTTGATTTGGGTTCAACAAAGACATCAGAATGTTGCAAGGCCCAAATTAAATGACGTGCTCCCTTTTCAATCCCTGAAAGGAATTACAATTTTTAGAAATAAAAAACATACTGGGCATTCTTTTTTGGAACGTGGTGTTGTCATCAAAATCAAAATGGGCATATATTTAAAAAAATAAAAATCTCAGTTTCAAAATTTGATATGTTGTCTTTGAAGCATTTTTGATTAAATATATGGTTTAAATGATTTGCACATCATTGCATTTTGTTCTTTCCGTCCCAACTTTTTTTGGAAATGGGGTTGTAGAAGTGGATGTTACCAGTAGAGATGATGACACATCACACCAAACATGCCCCCAACCAGGTAGTTTCTCCAAATCCAAACCCTTACATTGGACAAAGTCTGAAAAAAAAGTAACTCTTTGCAGTGGCACCATAAAATAGCTAAATTAATGCTACAAACCTGAACATTATTGGCCCTGACTGAAAAGACACCTCTATCAGACTCTAACAAAAACGGCAAAACAGAATATTTTCCAAAATAAATTATTCAGAAGCCCCAGTGTTATGCAAGACTTTTACCGCCACCCTAACCCCATCTCCTCACAGGGATACAAAACCGTCTGATAAAAAAGGGCAAAAAAAACTAGAACCAACAGAACAAGACTCACTGGAAAGTGAAGATGGGTGGAAAACGACAGAACTTGAACCTGAAGAAGCCAAAGCAGTGGGCTTTACTAAACCCTTGCATGCTTTCCTTTTGCTTTTAAAATAGGACAGTTAAATTTTCAATGACCCCTTCCCACACAATACACATGATTCAGATCCGACTTTCCCAGTGAACGGTCATGAGATGCCTCAGCAACCGAACCAGCAACATGGTTAGCAAAACGTGGAGGGGAATTTCCTCAATTTGATGTTTAGTGGACCAAAACATACTTGTATGCTGCTACTGCTGCCTAAGCCACAGTGCACACAGTATGTTCACTTACATCCGTCACAATTAACAAATAACATCAGATTAAATAGGCCTGAGGCAGTTTACAACAATCAGCTATCTCTAGTAACTGCTGTTAAAAAAAAGAGTCAAGCATGGTGGTAGAGGGCGGCTGAAAAAACCCTCCAGCTATGACTAAAAATGGAGATAATTGAGCCAAATCAAAATTCAAAAACACAGGAAATCCCAAAACATTTGCCAACCATAAGACTAACCCTCAAACTTCATGAAGGCATAAGACATGATACAAAAGATGCCAAACAAGTGTGTAAAAGCCCCTCTCCACCTGACACTAATAAAAGACAACTAAGTAGACCTTGGTTTTGAACAGTTACTGGTGGCAGGTTTTTATGCACTGAACCTGCAAGTGGCAAAAAATCCCAATAACAGGCCATTCTCAGCACCTCAGATGTGCCCCCAGACAACTGCTCCAACCACAGTCACAATAAAAAACTAAAACCAAAAATAGCTGACGTGACCAAACGGGCATGTAACTACCAAGGGAGAAGGCTTCCAAGTGATGGAATAAAATGAAAATTTCTAAAATAACAATCAAACATGATGATTAAAGAGAACATCATTGATAAGAGGTATAGACAGGAAAATGGAAAGTACTAAGAAAACCTGCATGGAAAGTAACCATAACTCTGTAAGGAAGTTCCAGAAAACTTTAAGCCCTTTAAGTAAACATTTGAGCCTTAAGCTAGTACATTTTTGAATCTTGAGCACACGTAGTCCAGTTGTATAAAAGGTTGTGTAAGTGGTTAGATAAGGGTTTGATAAGGACCAAAGGATGCAAGGTACCAAAGACAGCTGGACCTTTTGTAATTAATGGTTTGAATTTAATTGGGTCCAAAAAAGTGATATATTTTCAGGTTTAATGATGGGCAAAACAGGTTATGAAACATCAGAAGAGAGAGAGGTGATTACCTCACCTCTGAAAATTATAGAAAAATGGAACTCCGTACATTGCATTGGCATTGGTCTCTAGAGCCCATGTCCAGGCTGAAATGCTTTTTGCTAAGCCTTAAGTAGAGATCGAAGCCTATTCAGAAGTAATTATTTAACATTTGTCTGGCGTAGGTGATTTGTGTCATGGAGATTTGTGGAGATATATTTAGCAAGACATTTTGTGAAGAACCAACATGATTTTCCTCCTGGAAGCATCACAGAGTTAAGATATACATAAATAGGCATCCAGGAAATTACATAAACACCATTTAAAGTAAACCAAATTTGAATTGGAAGGAAACATTACCTGTGACCTCATCACAAAAATGTCTGAGATATCTAAAACAACATGTAGATGAACCAGAGGCATTTTTAAGCAATGTTTGCTGATTGATGATAAAAAATTTAACTCTTTGGTCACCAGTGATGGGGCAGTAACTAAAAAGAAGTAAAATAAGTTGTTAATTACTCCTCTCAAAATTTAGGGTGATTCTATTACCTATTACTTCCTGAAAAAGTAACTCATTACACTTTACATGTACGTTACTCTGTAACCCACTTCTGCCACTCTCTCTGGCTAATGTAGATAGAAGACAAAGGTTGCATGACTGCCTTTTTGAATGTGTTGAAACTCAAATTGTGAGTTAACAAATTTTTCTTTAAATCTTTATATCTTAGATTCTGTTAGCTTTTTAGTAAACATTTAATAAAAATTCAGTTTTAGAGCAGCCATGTAAATGTAAGATAAAACTAATCATTTTACAATGAAATGGGGAGTGTATCACCCAAGAAGGTTCTAATAATTTGTTTTTTCATTAATTCTTTTTTTAGTTACACTGTTAATGTCAGAACTCATTGTTTATCAATAACAAACCCACCCCTCCACCCACCATTAATGTAAAGGATTTGAGGTGATTGGGTGCTGAAAGTGGAAAAAAAGGTCATGAAGTAGTGCTACAATGGGACAGAAAGGGATGACAAGGCCCAAAACCTGGATAGCCTGTCCATGACCTCCGATCAAAACTGCTGGGTAGGAGGAAAAATCCAGAAAGCATGATAGTAATTGTCTGTTGTCTGGTGTACTTTAGGGGCTGTAATGTTTGTTCTGTGAAGAGTTTCAAATTGAATTAACTGGAGTTTTGAATTGCTGGTCATAAAGAATATGTTGTTGCATGTATTTTGCCAGTTTGGATTACATGTTTCTTTTATATCTTCGGTCCACTTTTTCCACTGAAAGTGAGATAGTGTTGTCCTTTGAGGCTTTAAGTTCATATATTTGTAATAACATTTTCTATGGTTTAAGACAGTATACTTTTAAGAAGAGGGAGGGAGTGTGATTACAGAAATTTCCACTATTAACTGTTTTCTTATTGACATCTTTGAGTTGTATATACTGAAAATGACAGTTATCTGATATACTGAATTTTGAGCAAGCCATTAGAGAACAATGGTGCCAGGCTGGTTATTCCTCTCTGCTTCCAGATTTAGAATATAAATGGTTTTTTATTTATTAAAAACATGGGATTGCTCCATATAGGAGTTTCACCAGAGGAGTTTAACCACTAGTTGTTTTTTTTCAGCATCACACAACTTTACCAGCCTTTTGTTACCCCTGTCTCAACTGTTGTGTTTGTACTATTTTCAATTAAATATAGGGCTTGAATGATTTGCACATCATTGCATTTTGTTTTTATTTACATTTTGCACAGCATCCCAACTTCGAAATGGGGTTGTATTTCAACACCTTGTAAAAATACTCTGGAACTTCTCATCCAAGAAATTTCTGAGGAAAACTTTTACCATTTTTTTTAACATCACAGTAACCACAATTAAATAACAACATTGTAAAATTATTTAAACTACGTGGTCTTAAGCCCTTAACAAGTCATGAGCCCACTGTTGGGCCCAAAGTTTCATTACACACTTATGTGACCCAAGAATAGCTCTGTTAGTTTGCATTGAAGTACCTGTAGCTGAATAAGATATTCCTGCTCCACTTCTAAATTGAAGTAGGATTAACTAAGTTTAGTGAAAAACATTTCACTATACAAATACATGTAGAGTTGTGTCATGTAGTCTGTGATCACTATTTAGCCTATCAGAGCACATGTTTAATACTATTCATTACAATAACGTTTTTGTATGTAATTGCAATAAGCTTAATAACAGAAACAAGAAAACTGAAAAAGAAAATCTAAAATTAACCGGTGGTTAATTTTACTGGTGGTTAGTCTAGTTTCTTGCAACAGACTCAAAGAAAGATTTCTGAATTGAATGAGAGAGAACATGCCATGACAACTCATTACAGAAATCAGTACAGAGATAGAGACAATGGAAAAAAATGTTAATTTATTGAATTGCTAGTTTATTGATTCTTTCTTTAACTTTTTTTTATTCAGGATTGAATTCACAGATGCTCACCTGAGTGTCTCCAGTTTACAAAATAAAGTCTTCAGTCCAGCAGAGAGCAGCTTCACTCCTGAATCCTGCAAGTCATTGTTGCTGAGGTCCAGCTCTTTCAGGGAGGAGTATGTTGATTGTAGAGCTGATCCCAGATTTTCACAAGCTTTCGCACCAAGACTACAGATATGCAGTCTGCAAGCAGGCATTACAATGTAGTCAAATAAGGATTTATAAATACAGTAACAAAATAGGTATATCATAGTTTTTAGATAACAATACAATTTTTGTTTATTTTTATATTACTGTGAGAGAAACAACAGAATTCTGACATCCAAAATAATTGTTAGTACATTTTTTTTTAGATTTTAAAGTACCTTTTCAGCTTATTACCATTCAAGAATTAATTCACAGGAAGCTCACCTGAGTGTCTTTAGTTTACAATATAAGCTCTTCAGTCCAGCAGAGAGCAGCTTCACTCCTGAATCCTGAAGATCATTGTTACTCAGGTCTAGCTCTTTCAGAGAAGAGTTTACTGATTGTAGAGCTGATGATAGATTTTCACAAGAACTTGTGGTGAGATTACACCCAGCTAGTCTGTAAAAATCAGAATGCAGAATATGGTGTAATCAGGTGTAATAGAATTACCTTACTCTCCATGTTCTACTTTGTCTTTACTTACAGAAATAAGTATACAAGATATTCTTAGCTTGACTATTCATCCACGTGATCCCATTTAAAACAGAAAACATAACTATTGTTTTTTCTAAGTAGAAGCCACCTGTTTAGTAGCATAAAAAGTTAACTGCCACAATAATCCAGTCAATATATGATACAATTAAACTTAGAATAGATCTTGCAATATACTGAAAAAAAGCATTTCTGAATATATTAAGAGATATACATGTTTTTTTCAGTAGCACATTATACTTTTAGTGTGTTTTTATACTTCAAGGATGGCTAGAAAAAGAGATTCAGTATAAGCCTAAAACCATGTGAAATGAATATTAATATTACACATAAATCTATTATTATAAGGTTACAGCTTATTATGGCTTGTCAAATTTTTTTGTATAAATGAATTCACAGAAAGTCCACCTGAGCATCTCCAGTTTACAGTGAGAGTTCTTCAGTCCAGCAGAGAGCAGCTCCATGCCTGAATCCTGAAGGTCATTGTTACTCAGATCTAGCTCTTTCAGAGAACAGTTTACAGATTGTAGAGCTGATGATATATTTTCACAGGAATTTGTGGTGAGACTACACCCACCTAGTCTGCAAAAGTCAGAATAAATATAGCATATGGTGTAAAGTTTTTTTAAAAATATTTTTATGTCCCACTGTAATAGAATTACCTTACTCTCTATATTCCACATTGTCTTTACTTTCAGAAATAAGTACACAAATATTTATAGCTTGATTATTCATTCATGTGATCACATTTACAACAGGAAACATAGCTATTGTTTATTTTCTAAATAGAAGCTGCTTGTTGTTAGCATAAAAAGTTAAATGTCACAACCCAGTCAATATATGATACATTTAAACTTAGAACCAATTTTACAATATACTGAAAATGTATTTCTGAATAGATTAAGAGATAAAAGAATGTCACGTTTCTTCAGCAGCACATTATACTTTTAGTGTGTTTTATGTTGTATTTCAAGGATGGCAAGAGAAAGAGATTCAGTAGTACCTTGGATTCAAATTGGATAATAAAATCAGCTTTGACCAACATGTTATGGACCTCTATAACAGATTTCAGAAGACTTCTTGTTATCAGAAAGCTAAGGGCACTTCATGTAGCTCCATCGTTGCTGCTGCTACTCTACAGAAGCATAATTGAGCCTATCATCCTGTACTGCTCAACCTGGTTCTTTACAGTGTTAAAAGTGTCAAACATTAACAAACTCTTACACATCACACATATTGCTTCAAAAATCATAGGCCTTCCCACACATAGCCTGTCACATCTAAACAATAAGGTGAAGTCAAGAGGCTTTTATTGTTATTCCATCTAAGTACAAGTACACAGTGAAGCTAAATTACATTCCTCCAGGACCATGGTGCAACTTGGAACAAAATAGACACTACAGACAAAGTGCAAACATGCAGAGGAGCAAGTAGGTGTGTGTATGTATGTGTGTGTGTGTGTGTGAGTTTAAGTTTGAGTGTGAGGGGGATTTCAGTTCAGTCCTTGTGGGTTTAAAAATCTGATTGCTTGCGGGACAAAGCTGTTGCAGAGTCTGGCAGTGATGGCACAGTTGCTCCAGTACCCAGTGCCAGATGGCAGCCATGAAAAAAGTCTGTGTGAGGGATGGATGGGGTCGTCCACCATGCTGGTGGCTTTGCGGATGCAGCATGTGGTGTAAATGTCCGTGATGGAGGAGAGAGAAAACTTGAAGATCTTCTCAGCTGTCCTTACTATTCACTGTAGGGTCTTGCGGTCAGGGGCATTGCAATTCCCAAACCAGGTGATGATGCAGCTGCTCAAGATGCTCTCCACAATCCCTCTGTAGAACATGGTGAGGATGGGAGGGGGGAGATGAACTTTCTTCAGTCTTTGCCGGAAGACTGAGGTAGTAGAGGTGCTGCTGGGCTCTCTTGGCTATGGAGTTGGTGTTGAGGGACCAGGTGAGGATCTCTATGATGTGAACACTGAGGAACTCCTGACAATTTCCCTAGCAGACCCATTGATGTTTAGTGGGGGGTGGTCACCTTGCACTCTTCAGAAGTCAACCACCATCTCCTTAGTTTTGTCCACATTTAGAGACAGGTTGTTGGTTCTGCACCAGTCTGTTAGCCACTGCACTCTCTCTCTGTATGCTGACTCATCATGTACTTTGCAGTACACTTGTGGGTCAGTAGAGTGAACAGCACTGAACTAAGCACACAGCCCTGGGGGGCACCGTTGCTCAGTATGGTGGTGCTGGAGATGTTGTTACCAATCCTGACTAATTGAGGTCTCTCAGCCAGGAAATCCAGGACCCAGTTACAAAGGAAGGTGTTTAGGCCCAGCAGGCTCAGTATTCCAATCAAGTGTTGAGAGATGATGCTGAAGTCTTTGAACATCATTCTGATATAGGTGATTTTATTATCGAGGTGGGTGACAGCCAGGGGGAGTGTGGTGGAGATGGCATCATCTGTTGAGCGGTTGGGGTGATATGCAAATTGCAGTGTGTCCAGTGGAGGGGGGAGCTGGTATTTGATGTGCCTCATGACAAACCTTTTAAAGCACTTCATGATGATGGGAGTGAGTGCAACGGGACGGCAGTCATTGATGCAGGACACTGGAGACTTCTTCGGCACAGGGATGATGGTGGTGGACTTGAAGCACACTGCAATGACTGCAGTGCTCAGAGAGATGTTGAATATGTTCATGAGAACATCTGCCAGCTGCATTCTCTGAGCACTCTGCCTGGTATGCTGTCAGATCCTGGGGTTTTCGTGGGTTGACTCTTTGTAGAGTTCTCCACACATCAGCAGTGATCAGACACAGTACCTGTTCAATTGGAGGAAGTGTGGTCTTCCTTACTGTCATGCAGTTCTGTGCTTCACACCAAGCTTAGAAGTTATTCAGCACTGGGAGGAAGGAATCACTGTCACAAACAGGTGAAGGTGTCTTGTAGTTGGTGACGGCCCGGATGCCCTGCCACATGCGGCGTGTGTCAGCAGTGTCTTGGAAATGTTCATGGAGTTTCTTTGCGTAGGCGTGCTTTGCCTCTCTGATGGCCCGGGAAAGCTTGGCCCTTGCTGTTCTGAGGCCTGCCTTATCCCTTTACTTAAAGACCTTATCATGGGTTCTCAGCAACATGTGCACCTCTGCAGTCATCCATGGCTTCTGATTGGGGTGTGTTGTAATGAGTTTGGAAACAGTAACATCATCAATGCATTTGCTGGTATAATCAGTCACTGATTCTGTATATTCCTCCAGGTTGATGGAGTCACTGGAAGTTGCTGCTTCTCTGAACATCTCCCAATCAGTGTGCTCAAAACAGTCCTGAAGAGCAGAGATAGCTCCTGGCAGCCAGGTTCTCACTTGCTTCTAGTCTGGTTTGGCACGTCTAATGAGCGGTCTGTATGCTGGAATGAACATCACAGAGATGTGGTCTGAGTAGCCATAGTGGGGGTGGGGCTCAGCACTGTACACGCCGAGGATGTTTGTGTAAACAAGATCCAGCACGTTAGCCCCCCAGGTTGCATAGTCCACATACTGGTGAAATTTAGGGAACACTGACTTCAGATTAGCATGGTTAAAATCTCCAGCGACAATAAACAGTCCGTGCATGTTTTGGAGACGGCCTGGCTCTGGCAATCACAAACTCCACCAACGGTGAGCAGTGACTAGAGACTAGTGCTGCATTTTTACACCATTCAGTGTTGATGTAAACACACAGGCTCCCTCCTCGTGTCTTACTGTCTCTGTTCAGCATCTCTGTCTGCCCAGAAGCACAGCAGGCCATCAAGCTGAATGGCTGAGTCTGGAGTGGAGCTCATCATCCACGTCTCTGTAAAAACAAAAACACAGCAGTCCCTGAATTCACGCTGGGTAGCCCGCTGGATCCGGAAGGTAGTTCAGTTTATTTTCCAAGGAGCAAAGATTAGAAAGCACGACCGATATCACAGCTGGTCACCTCGAGTTAGCCATTAGCCTAGCATGCACCCCAGCTTGTTTGCCTCACTTCCACCTTCTTGCACACCATTTTCGACAAGCCCCATTTCGGCCAGCAGGCTCACGCAGTGCTGTGGGTCATAGCAAGCCTAGCGCGCACAGCTCTTCTCGCAGTCTGTGTGAAAGCAGAAATTGTGGCTGATTTCTCAGCTGTTGCAGGCTCTGGCAATGGTAGACGTTGGTGCTGGTTGTTGCAGTCAAGATTTTTGAAATTTGGTTGGGTTACAGCAACAGATAGTAAAACAGAAAGAGCAAAAAGCACCGCTTTGTTGTTCCCGAAGTGGTCGATGCAGCTACACACCGCACTGCCAGAAGTAATGAAAAGACCTAGATCACCCACTGCACCCTTTCTTTACTTCCATCAGGCTGGAGATATAGAACGTTAGTAAGTGAAAGAAAAAAAAAAAAGCCTTAGGCCTTATGTGTTTAAATGTGCTTTTTATGGATGGGTTTGGTTGCTTGCACTTTGTCTGTCTTGATAGTGTTTATCCAAGTATCCATGTAATTTTTCAAATGTCTGATCTCGTATGTGCCATAACACTGTATAAATGGCACAGGCTGTGAAAACAAATTTCCTCTCTTAAGGACAATTAAATAAATTCATAATTGTACATGAACATACATTCATTATTGTATGTATAGTTTGTGAAGGCTTGTTAATTTTTAGTTAAAAAAATGAATTCACAGAAAGTTCACCTGAGTATCTCCAGTTTACAGTGTGAGTTCTTCAATCCAGCAGAGAGCTGCTTCATTCCTGAATCCTGCAGGTTATTCTTACTGAGGTCCAGCTCTTTCAGAACGTTCACAGATTGCAGAGTCAAACAGAGAGTTTCACAGGAGTCCTTGGTGATATAACAGCCAATTAGTCTGCAATAGATAAACACAAGACAGCAGCAGAAAGAGACTATCATGAATCAGAACATAGTAGTTCAGCTCTGCACCACTGCCACTGGCTGCAGGGTTTGAGAAAGGGGCTTTATAAATTGAACTATTATTATTATGAACTTATTATTATTATTATTATTATTATTTTTATTATTATTTTTAATATGCTGTCTGCTGGTAGGGAATACTGTGCAAAGGGCCCTGCACTGTTTCAGGCAAGCCTATATAAATACATCCAAAAACTTTGCCTGATGATTATACAGAGCCTGCAACTGCACAGGTTCTCCAGGAGCTTTAGTTCAAACATGGCAGCCACCTATATACATGCATGATTAATGCATGTTTCCCCAGCCTTACAAAACCTTTTAAATGCTTTGCGATTCTTAATTTTTTGGGTGCTGGGAGAATTCACCTCATTTCATTGGCCACATCACTGGTAAGATACATGATGCACAATGGAACAGGGCATTGAAAAAAAGACAAAACATGGTAATACAACCCGACCAACACCTTAATTAAGTACACCTCATTTTGTCTACAATCTTTATCCATTTTATAGTTTTACTCTCTGCTCTCTGCATAGTTTGTTAGCACCCGTCCCCCTGTATGATCCACTTGTACCAGTGCAACATACACTAATGCCACAACCACGTCAGTGTCACTGCAGTGCTGAGAATGACCCACCACCCAAATAATGCCTGCTCTGTGGTGGTCCTGTGAGTGTCCTGACCATTAAATAACAGGCTACCAAAGTATGCAAAGAAACAGATGGATTACAGTCTGTAACTGTAGAACTATATAGTGTTCCAATATGGTCAGTGGAGCTGATAAAATTGAACAATGAGAATAGATACAAGGAAGTGAACTTAATAAAGTGGCTGGTCCGTGTATATTTATGGAAATTCATTGTAAATGAATCACTTACTTAAATAATTAATTACTGTAATATTACTGTATATAGTTGCATAAATAGTTTGTGTCACGCATCCCTCCAGCCGTGACTCTCTGGTGGACATTTCCCAGAATGTACTGGGAGAACACATGAATGTGACATCACACCAGCCGACGTATCAGAGATCTGCCTCACCTGATTACTGAGTGCATCACCTGTTTCTCTCATCATGTGATTAGTCCATGTTATGTCCCTAGGATGACTGTTTTTGTTTTGCTTGTTTCTCTCTTGTTCTCTTTCTCTCTCTCACTCTCATCTACTAGGACCCGCCCACTGGTGTGTGTGATTGGCTGGAGTCCTGTGATTATGCTTGCATCTGATTGAATGGCTGCAAGTGTATGGGGTATTTCTTCTACAGCTGTGCCTGATGTCCTCAAGGCTTACCTCCATGGCAGCTTGGGGCTAGATGTTTGTTTTATGGGTAGTGTACTGTCTCTGTCTCTTTCTCAAAGGTATTAACTTAGCACTACTATGTCTTCTGCTCAATGACTTTTACTGTTTTTACTTTTTACATGAGCAGTAAGCTCATGATCCATCTCTATACCTTTCACTCTCTTATGCTGACCAAGGTGTAGGGGTGGGTGCCATTTCTTTTGAATCTAATATTTTCTCCTGTTTTTTGGTCTAGTCAGGGAGACAGTATGTATTTTTGTTTCTTTATTTTGGCCTAGGTAAGTTAGTTCTCTAAAATCCCCAAATAGACTGGTTATGTTGTTTTGGGGCATGCCCACTCTGAAGTTCGTCCTATGTTGTGCAAACAAAAGAGCAGCTAAAGAAAAGAAAATAACGACTTCATCTGTTTAAACGTTAAATGGCTCTCTTTTGTCTTCTTTATGTTATGACTCCAACAAAACTCCTAGACAGGTTGTAACAGTCCAGTTAGTATTTAAGCTTGGGCTTTAGTTTAGCTCAGTGTAAGGTATTGCTTCTTTCACAGAGCTACTGAGCATTCTTTCCAGTGTTTTGGTTGACTTCTTGTGTACCTGCCTGGTCTTCTGTAATTTTTTACTTTGTCTTTTGCTTGTTCCCTGTTTGGATATAGTTTGCCTGGACTTTCTTCTGTTGTGTTTATCTATGTTGTATATGGCTCATTTTGGATGTGACCTCTGTCTGTTTTTTGACTATGACTTTGGATCACGTTCAAACCAGTAAAGCCTTCTCAGAGTATTTTAACTGCGCACATCTGACTAGTTGTCTCTCATTACAGATTGCTAGTTTGAATGACTGTATATTTGTGGTGTATGTATTAATGTGTATGTGTTATTTAAATATTCAAAACAAATAAAACAGTATCTGTTTTCACTATTTATCTATCTGGCAGCTAGATTAACCTTGTATGATGTGGAGTTTACTGTTGTTTTTTTCCCTTAAGAGCACTCAGAGGACAGTTTACCTTTGTAAATTTTAACTGTTCAAGAGCAGCAAGTAGCACTCGATTTCTTAATTTCGGCATCTGACCACAACTCCTGTCTATTCTGCTGTTTCATTCAGAGCAAATACAATTAAAATCACTATTTAAAAAAAGAATCCATGATGGTAAAACGCTGAGGTGATTCTGACGGCTGAGGTAAGCAAATACTGGTCATGTGTAGTGGGCAGGAACAGGGGCGACATCTTTGCTGTCTAACTAGAGCACCGCAAAGGGCCGGTGTGGCTGCAGGTTTTCACTCCAACACAGCAGGAGCTCACTTGATAAAATGTTTGAAGACTGAGACCAACTGATTAAACAAGTTGAGACAGGTGCACTTCAGTTTGTTTGGAGTGAAAACCTGCATCCATACTGGCCCATCGGAGATAAGATTGGACACCCCTAAACTAGAGAATTTCATTTATCTGTCCTATAAGGTTTGATGATAGCTAGAACAAACACCCTTAATGTTTTAACTTATCAACTTTATTATCTTTTGTAAATATAAGCTTATTCAGATATTGATGCAACACGTTCCAACAAGTTGGGATGGGGCAAATTAACACTATGAATGTTGAAAACATTTTAAAAGAAGAGATGTGATCATGCTTGGCATAAAAGAAGCTTTCAGGCCTAGTCCTGTAAAGGCAAGAATGGGTAACTAGCAAAAAATCCAAATGTCTAAAAACTGGATTTTAACTACTTCACCCTCAACGGCATGTAATATTACGAAAAGGAATCCAGTGTTAGAACAGCATGGCTGCTTAGTCAGAGAGTGAGGTTGCTAGCCTGACCTAACTGTTTCTTATTGAAAATGTGTGGGGCATTATGAAGAGCAAAACACAACAATAAAGGCGCCACACACCTGGTATAGTAGAAGAATGGCAAAAAATCCACTTACAAAACTAGATCAGTTTGTGTCTTCAGTCCATATACAATTATTTTATGCAGGTAAAACAAAAGGTGATGTAACATTGTGATAAACATGCTTGTATCCCACCTTTTTTGAACATGTTGAAAGCATTGTGTTCAGAATGAGTATATATATAAAAAAATAAAGTTCATAAGGTAAAACATAAGGTAAAATAATGTTTCTGGGCTGTTGTCAATTTAACAGCTCCAACAGTTCACTCATCACTGCTTTCTGTATTATTGTATTATTATTACTGTTCCAACTTTTTATAGAATTGGATTTGTAATTTGGCCAGGGGTGCTCAGACATTTGTATAGAACTGTATCTAGTACATGTATTCTGTCATGTCAAAATATTGGATTTTCTGAGTTATGTCAAAATATTGGATTTTTAAAGTTTGATACAATAGTTTACAAAGTTCTGATATTTGAGTTTTTTTCAACACCACAATATCAAAACAAAAAGCATTATTTACATAACAATGACTGTTCACATCAAATGTATTTTTAAACAATAGCTTGTATACAGATATCACAGCTTTAAGTGACCAGATTAAAGTTCAGGTTGATTTAGACTTACAGTAAAGATGTTAAGTCTTATCTACAAAGGGCCAGTGTATCTGTAGATTTTCAATCCAGCTAAGCAGCAGCACCTCTTAACTCAAGCCCAATGTCAGAACTGTCAAATAAGAATGTCCCTTAGGTCTCCTTTCATTGGACAGTGATTGCTATGAGTTTAAGTTATCTGGTGTTGGAAATTGTTTTGTTTTCTGGTTTTCTGTTCTTTTCCTTTGTTTTAGTTGTTATTCAATGTTAAACAGTATGTTTTGCGGTGGCCACTTACAGCAAATTGTCCTTTACAACACTTCCTAAGGACAGGAACAGAACACAGTTTACAACACCGAATCTGTCCCTTTTACGGCAGGATTTCTCAGGTCTCTGAGAACATCCACTCTCTTTCTTGGGGGTGGGGAGATTTAGAGTATAAAGCTTTGGTTCCACAAACTGGTCTTGAGAATGGGGTGTTGGTGGCACAGCAGACGTACAGAGCTCTGAATAAAATAAAATTGGAGGCTGCAACTGAACTGCTGGTGTGTGACCCCCCTGTACTTGTCCACCTGACGCACCGCACTCTGTAGTCCTTATGTTTCCAAGTTCACCCCGTGTACAGTGATACTTATGAGAAACACAATGGGCTCACATTTGTGGTCCAAATGTCAGTTGTGAAGCTCATGGCTTTAACATCTAGCTAACTGTGCCGCTAACTGTGATGACACTTGGTTGTACAGTTCAGGTACGGCTGTCTCTGAACAGTATTTTCTGGATGGCAGATTAAACCTGGGCAAAACTGGACATTTTCCACTACAGAGAGTGGTGGGTCATCGAGTACAATGAAGTTCAGCAACTTCTCTGTAATCCCTTTAGGCTTTGAGTTGTCTACTGTAAGTTTATTGCATTTCTAGAAAGCATCAGAGAGTTGATGCCTGGCGGTGTCACCCTGACTGTTAGCTAACATGAAATGCTTCTACTCCTTTATGTGAAACCTCTGCAGGTGTTCGATTAAACTGGTTGTATTGCATGACGCATCTGCACTTCCACTTCTCGGCATGCTGGACAGTTACAAGTAACTGCCTTGCTTTTCGGCATTTCCAGATAAAAATATCTCCAAACAGATGATATTTTGATCAAACCAACAACTAATGTCATTTGCACTCAGTTAGAGACTGAAGTTGCCACAGGTTCACGGTAAGATGTGGAACTGAATATGGATCAGTAAGTGGATCGGCCCTGTCCATCTGATATCCGATGAGTGAATTACTTCAATATCGGTCCCAATACCAATATAGGATCGGACTGGTCCCATCTCTGAATACTATTGTAAGGGCCCAGCCTGCGCCGCCGGCCGCCAGCAGAGGGAAATGGTGGCAAGGTGCCATAACTTCTGGGAACTCCAATTCCCAGAAGCCCTTGGGCTGATTAGGCCCAACCACACACACCTGCGGACTCCTCTACTTAAGGCTGTGTCAAACAGCAGCCCTTTGTCACACCTTTGTAGAAAAGAAAAACAAAAAGAAAAGGAAAGAGGGCTGGAAAAAAACAAAAGAGAGTAATTGCCCCAAAATTACTTAAAAACCTCAAGAAGTCTTGAGCTACAAACTGCTCCAAACCATACAAAAGGTGTTCAATTAAGAGCAAACAAGTGAAACACAAAGTCTATCTCCCCCTCTTAATTACAGAGAAAGTAACTTTTGTTTTCAGAGTATCTCTTCTTTCATGTTTCTAATTCAGCTTTTGTTTGAGCACACTGCTTTCAGTGTTTCCTTTGTTTGCCCTTTTTCCTGCCCCTTGAGTTGTTTTCCCCATTATTGCCCCTGTTTCCCAGTGGCGTAGCACTAACTCCACGGACTACAACCAGTATATCGGCGGTTCGAGCCTGGCTCTGGGTCACCTCAACTCTGTGCCAAATTCCCACTCCATGGCCTCAATAAACTTATTTAACACCCTTTCTCACAGGTTATCCTCTTTGCACTTGAGTCCGTCTCCCTGCCGTCCTGTAACAACTATAATAATAAAAATCATTTTTAATTGTATAAATGAAGATCTAATGTGGTCAGCCCTAATCAATTGTTGGTAATCAAATATTAATCTGTTGTATTAATGTAGATATAACACTCACTGAGCTTTTCTGCAGATGGTCAGAGCTGGGATCAGTCTTCTATAACCCTCCTCTGATGTGTTGTATTTCTTTAGGTCCAGCTCATCCAGAACCTCCTCTGAGGTCAGAATCATATAGGCTAACGCTGAACACTGCCCAGGAGAGAGCTTCACCTCTGAGTGTTTCTCTGATTTGAGATACTCCTGAATCTCTCTGGAGAGAGACTGGTCATTCATTTCAGACAGACAGAGGAACAGATTGATGGATCTCTCAGTTGAGATTGGATCTTGTTTATCATCATCATCATCATCAACTCTTTTGATTAAGTATTTGATATGCTCTCTAGTTCTCTCTGAGCTGCTCTGTGTTGGTGTCAGTAGACCCTGTAGGAGTCTCTGATTGGACTCCAGTGAGATGCCCAACAGGAAACGGAGGAAAAGATCCAGGTGTCCATTCTGACTTCTTACTGCTTTATTCACTGCTCCCTTCAGCACCGCATCCAGTGGAACATTCTCAGACCTCTTTCTGTACCATGGGTGAGGAAACCCCAGTGGATCATCCTCAGACCACTCATTGTACTGTGCTTTAAATATCTGTAGTTCCTCCATGTTGCTGCTCTCATAGCAGTGAAACACAAAAACAGCAGCCAAGAATTCCTGAAAGCTCAGATGAACAAAGCAGTAGACCTTCCTCTGGTAAAGCACACATTCCTCCCTAAAGATCTCAGTGAAAATCCCTGAATACATTGAGGCCTCAGTGACATCAATGCTGCTCTCTCTCAGGTCCTCTTCATAAAACATCACATTGCCCTTCATCAGCTGTTTGAAAGCCAGTTCAGCCAGTTTCAGAAGAATGGTTCTGCTGGATTCCAGCAGATTCTTTGGGTTTCTCTCACCTTTCTCCTCATACTTCTCATTCTTCATGTTTGTCTGAGTGATCAGGAAGTGTGAGTACATTTCAGTTAGAGTTTTAGGGATTTCTGTATTACGCTGTTTCATGATTCTCTGAAGAACAGTGGCTGAGATCCAGCAGAAGACTGGAATGTGACACATGATGTGGAGGCTCCTCACTGTCTTAATGTGGGAGATGATTCTCTTGGCTTGGTCTTCATCACTGATTTTCTTCCTGAAGTACTCCTCCTTCTGTGGCTCACTGAATCCCTGAATTTCTGTCACACGGTTGATGTATTTAGGAGGGATCTGATTGGCCGCTGCTGGTCGGGAGGTTATCCAGATTAGAGCAGAGGGAAGCAGCTCTCCTTTGATGAGGTTTGTCATCAACACACCCACTGATGATGTCATGGTGATGTCAGATACTTTCTCACTCTGTTCAAAGTTCAGTGGAATTCTGTTTTCATCCAGACCATCAAATATAAACACAGCTTTGATCTGATCATAAATGTTTGGGTCCAGATCTTTGAGCTCAGGATGGAAGTCGCAAAGAAGTCCTTGAAGACTGTATTGATCATCTTTAATCAAGTTCAGCTCCCGGAATGGAAGCACAAACATGAAATCTACATCCTGATTGGCTTTTCCTTCAGACCAGTCCAGAATGAACTTCTGCACAGAGACGGTTTTTCCAATTCCAGCGATGCCTTTAGTCAGTACACGTCTGAGCTCTGGCACTTTTGGTCTGTTGCTTTCTTTTCTTTCTTTGTGTCTAAGAGTGTTAGCCATTACGGCTGTAACATTCTCTTCTTGTGTTTCTCTTTCAGGACCTTGTAGAGGTTTAAAAATATCTAAGCAGTTGATTGGAGAGTCTTGTAAGTGTCTCCTGGGTGTTTTCTCCATCTGTAAAACCTCGTGTTCTTTATTCACTCCTTCGCTCTCTCCCTCTATGATGTAGAGCTGTGTGTAAATCCTGTTCAGGAGGGTTTTATTCTCTTCTGTTCTGATTCCCTCAAATAAGCTCTCATACTTGTTCTTCATGCTGCTTTTGTGTCTCTCTAAGACTCTGTGAAGGACATCATCCGCTGGTTGGTAAATATCTGCCAGAGTGTTTATCTTCAGTGCTGCTGGTGAGGTGCGCTGCCTAACAAGGGTCAAATAAAATAACAAACATCATTAACACAAATACCCATAATAATATACTAACCACGTTTCATTAAAGTTCAGCTATTTAGTTAAAAAAGATACTTTTTTGGTTTACCTCAGAGTCCCAAGATATATTTAAAATAAAATATTCCCAGACAATAATGTAGTAATATATATATATATATATAACATAAATTGAGGTTCAACTTGGTTTTAAATATTATAGAATTGGTTATTGATGGTTAAAGGTTCACTAACACACACTGTGATCTGAGCAGCAGTCAGCAGTCAGAATCAAACCTGTACTGAGGTGTGTGGCACTGTTTGAGTCTCTAGCCTGCTCGCTAAGCTAAAGATAAGTTAGCCAATGAATCAGAGCAGGCATCTTAATCACACAAATCACAGTGAGCATGCTGAAAGTGATATGATGATGATGATGATGATGATTATTATTCAACAATACAAAAAAAAAAATCAAATTCAGTTAATGCATTAATTAATAAATTCATGCAAATTAAAAATATACAACAGTATGTAAAAACAAAGGATTCATGAAAAAAGTTTATGTAAATATCTTAAGTCACTGGAAATTATGTACTGCGATTTCCTGTCACTACTATTAAATTGTTTTTGTTGCAATAAACATCATCAAAGAGGAACTTAATTAAATTGATTAAATTACCACTACAAATTATTGTTTACCATATGAACACGATAGTTCTGAAATGAATGGAAGTGAATGGGGCACTTCTGGATGTTTGCAGGTATAAGCCATCAACTTCCGATCACTTTTTAAAGCTTAATAATCAAAAGCAGATCTATTTGGGCTTCCCTGCTGTTTGAAAGATCAAACAGCATTTAGTGCTGGTTTAAAAAAAACATTAACACTATTTTTACACATTTCCTAGAACTGTATGATACTAATTACTTGGCTCAGTATAAATGTAAAGCATTCACTCAAACATCAACTTTTATGGTATAAATTATCTCAATCAATTAAATTTGAACATTTTGATAATTAATATCTAGAAAACATAAAACTTGGTGTCTTCACATGTAGACTGTATTCACTGTATTATTAAAAACAACTCTGACGTGCATGTGTTTCATGACACCACATATACACAGCACCACTGGTTAAACATGACACCAGGTTAAGAGCATGTCATCCATCACCTCCTGTCAATGATACCCTGATGTCCTGTGAGAGCCCAGACATCACCAATACACCCTTTTGGGATCCTGTAAAATATCAGCAAGACTTATATTCTGACAGTCGTTTCTCCAGTGCCCAGCGAAGTGTATCTGAAGAGTTTCACTCACTGTAGGTCACATCACTCTTTATAGACATCCAGCTGGACACAGGAGAAACTGGGTTTCAGTCCTGCTAATATTATATATGTGAAAAACTCAACATGTAGCCCAGAGCTCAGAAACATATTAGAAATGCTTCATTATCAGAACTGTTGTTTATGGTAGCAGTTATTTACCATGAGTCAGAGGTTCCTCTACCTCCACTGGACTGTGCTGGCACCAACATGGACTGTTTACTTTTCATACACACACAGCTGGGTTCTCCTCCTCCACTGCTGAACTTAGGAGGGTTCCCTATGGACTGGTCACTTTTCATAGACACACAGCTGGGTTCTCCTTCTCCTCTGCTGAACTTAGGAGGGTTTCCTATGGACTGGTCACTCTTCATAGACACACAGCTGGGTTCTCCTTCTCCTCTGCTGAACTTAGGAGGGTTTCCTATGGACTGGTCACTCTTCATAGACACACAGCTGAGTTCTCCTCCTCCTCTGCTAAATTCAGGAGGGTTCTTCATGGACCGGTACCTCTTCACAGACACACAGCTGGGTTCTGGAGATGCTGCACGCTTCACTCTGAGAAAAGTTCATCCACAATGTGATTTAAGTCTTGAGTAATTATGTTCTATAAACAGACTTAATCTTAGCATAAGTCATGATTTCCTCTCTTTTTAATCAGGTTAAGAACTGACAATGTTACTCACATTGGGTCAGAGGTTCTTCCTCCACTGCTGGAGTTATGAAGCTCCATCAGTGAGGTTTTACTCTTCACACACAGCTAGACACTGCAGATTCTGCTCTCTGTGAACACTTCATTAATGTAGCATGAAATAATACTTGGTTAATAAATATAACTACAACATATGAAATCTGCCTGTCATGAAATAGTAGATAACATTTTGGGCGATGGATGTTTTTTCATTAAAAATAATCCAACACTATTTAATACTAGAGAGGTGGTTAAAGTAGACACACAAATCTAGTGGCACCATCACATCTCCTGCTGCTCCGCATTCTTTATTTATCATAATCAGTCATTATATGATTACTAATCTGAAGTCAGGTCCAGCACTCTGAGCTGCTGTAATTCAGCCGTGTACAGATGACCACTCTACTCAGAGCCAATACAGGCTCAGATCTCTCCATTAGGCTACAGTTAGGTCATATTTAGTTTACACAGGATTAATCCTGTTATGTCATCTTCAGGATTTTCATATATAAGTAGTTGATGGAATCATTCAGGGACTGATGAGCTGAGCTTTTTAATGTAGTTTCAGGTACAAATAAGACACATTTTGTCCGTGTGTTCTGTACAGTTCATGGGCTTCTCTTCCATACACATTTGAGGGAGGATAACTCAGAAAATGGGCGGAGCTGATGAAGGTGCAGCTGATTACATTTACATCTGATAACAAATCTGAGGAACTTGCAGCAGACAGTTTTGCGTCAATTTTTTCCCACCTTTTAAAACCAGAAGTAAATTTTTGTTAGCGTTCTTAAGTCACAATGCTGAGAAACTTCCTTTAACAATGTCAGCAAACACAGCAGACAGATGGAGACGTGTGCCTCAAACACGAGTTGAAAGAATGTTTACCATCAGAATAACACTGTTTAAATTATCAGGATCAGATGGACGTGTGTGAGTATGCACTCGTGTTACAACATGTCCATGTTACTATTTCACAAACTGTGTTTTTATTTTGAGCAGATCATCACCCCTGTAAAGGTTTTGGAGAAAAATTTATTTATTAACATGACTCTTTCTCTGATCTATCAGTTCATTATTAATAAACTATATTTACTGATAGATTCTCAGTACAGAATAAACAGACAGTAGAACTGATCACCTCTATAATCTTATAATCATCATCAATAATGTTACTGTCTCTGATCTCAGTTCATTATTAATAAACTGCATTTAGTGATAGAATCTCAGTACAGTATAAACAAACAGTAGAACTGATCATCTCTATAATCCTGATAATCATTATCAATAATGTGACACTTCATGGACTTGTAGCTGAGATCAGGTGAGTCTGGTCTCTCTGAATCACACTGAAACATAACAATGGTGGATACTGGAGTCATATATGCAGAAAATATATATAATATACACTGCATAGTTTAAAACATATATATATAGTAAAGTTTGACAGTTTGTTATGGTACTACAGCAAACGAGTCCTCCACAGCTCAACTACAACACGAACAAACGAGTCACCCAGCTGTTAGCATTTAGCTGTGTTAGCTGTTAGCGTCTTTACCCAGAATAAAAGTCTTTAAGAAGCTCGCATTCTAAACTATTTATATATGGTGTTTTGCATACATTAAAAATTCTCCTCACAGAAAGAGGCTCTGATGCTCTAAAAACTTGAACATTTTTGCTGGGCTCATTGGCTGGGTTACCTGAGCATTAGCATAGCTTAGCTTCAGTTAGCTGACTTTATCGGGCACTTTAGACAGAAAATAAAACAGAACCCAGCAGCTGTTTCTCTCAGATCAGTGTGAGTTCTCAATGTTCTCCTCAGTAAACTGTGTGTGTTGATCTTTAGTAATTACCTCTGAGCTTTTCTCTGTTTATGATCTTCTCTTTACTGAACAGTCGCTGCTCAACTTTCACTTTAAACCGGTGATCCGATTCAGCTCCTCCTCACCTGGGCGCGCGCACAAACCAACGCCGAGCAACACCGAGCTACGGAAAGAGAAAAGGTTCAAAAAAACGTTTGTAGGTCCGCGTGTGCTCATCCAATCGGCCACGAACAGCACAGAATGGGTTGATCAGTACGATTGATCACTGTTTACTGGAATTAAAATAATGTATTTCACTGAATCTCAATGATGCCCTGTTTATCTCAGCATCGAGTTATTTCACCATGCTGAATGAATGAATGAATGAATGAATAAACAAGCAGATTTCTTTCTGATTAAGAATGATGTTCATAATAATCAATCTGTTGTTAGTGTGATATTATCCAGATGTGGAGTTTTAGGGAAAACACTTCTACTTTAATCCAGCAGAAACAGCCAGATCCGTTTCTTCTGCCAAATACAGTTTAGAGAAGCTCCATAATGGACAACATAATGCATACCATGACAGAGGAGCCCTGTGACTGGCTCTTTTTCACTCCATCAATAATCAGAGTCAAAGTCAGCTTCATTCTGATCAGCTAAGACTGTGAAACACTGTTAGTTTATCAGAACAGCTGCTGTTCCCTCAATATCCAGAAGATGGCGCCAGAGTGGAGCTAATGACGCCTCCTACTGTTCGGCTTTGCATTTTGTCCCCGTTGTCATGCCATAGTTTTCTTCGTTCTGCGTACTTTTTAATAGATTGATTGTTTCTGGATGGACTTAAATGGATGGACTTAAAATACCTTTTACAACAAGTCTGTCTGACATCAGGCAGCGTTTTTAGGTTTAGGTGTTAATTATGAGTAATAAAATCAGTTTTTAATATTAGAAAGGTGATCTGGAAACAGTGTGAATACACAGAACATCAAACACTCATCAGCTTACTATATACATAGTTTCAGAGTATTAAATTAAAATAATAAACTTTTAAAACAGTTTATTTTTATTTATATTTTTATCGGAAATACAGGAATAAAAGATACAAAGATAAAAAAATATATAAAATATAAAATTTTTATGACATCAACTCATGGTGCTCTAAAGGCCTAGCACAGTATTTTTCCTCCTCACTTGAAATCTTATTGTTGTTGTTTATTAGCAGGAAGTTTGTGATTATCTTCATACTTAAATCAGTCCAGCATTTACAGCATTGAAAAAAAGATTCTTTGACTCAACAAGCCTCACTTACAAAATTAAGTTGCTTCTACTTTACACCAAAATTTTTTTAGCTTTACTTTTGAAATAAATATGAGCAACACACAAACGTAATTATTTTCTGAACACATTCAATGAAATAAATTAAACGAAAGAATAATGGTGAATTAATTCAACATCCATATTCTTCCTGAGCCGCATTTTATAGAGTCTCACAGTGCAGAGATCTTTTGTAATTTTTGGAAACGACCACTTTTGAACGCAATTCATTATGTTTGTGCTGTTTTCTTATGTTTTGTGCTTTGTGGCCAGTAAGACAGCTATGCTATACTAGGCTACGCTAGCTAAGCAGCTAGTGACTGCTAGCTAAAGAATTTGAATAAAGTTAGCTATCGTAAAATAGCTAAGCTTAAAAAAGTGATGTTTCTTCAGTCTAAAATTTGAAGATACTCTCATGTATAAATTGTTAATGTTGTATATTTGCTTTAGAGACATGAAGAGACTTGTAAAATTGTAACCTGCCTCATTAGCTGTTTGGAATAATAGCTGCATCTGGACCACTGCAAGGTAAAATTAACCTTTACTAAACCTTAGTTAGCTACTGTCAACAGTTTGTATTAGTTTGGTGATTTAAAGCTTTTTTGTTGAGTATTTATCTGTTTATTGAAAAACAATATGATTTGAATTTGAGGGGCTGTTTAATGCAGCTCGGGTCGAGTCGGAGGGGAGTGAGAGAGCGAGCAGCAAGTGCAGGACCTTACTTAAAGTTAGCTTGATTCGCAAGGCTACCTAATGCTACTACATGTAATTAGCAAAGTTGTCCAGGCTGAATTTGCTTTCGCCTTGCTGGGGTTTTTCCACGTCATGAAAATGTGTGACCGTCAGATGATAATGTGGTCATCCTGAACAACACTACTCATGACTCAGTGCTCTACAGGTGTTTAATCTGCTACCCTAAAAGTTCATGATTAATTGAAATTTTAAGGCAGTTAAAATAAAAACTTCCTGAGGGAGCATGCTACCACACTCCCTTAGTAAAAGCTTAGCCCCCATCCATAAATCTGTAGTGATGTACCTGCTCAGAAGCTAAAGCAGAGTAAAGCTTATCTAGTGTCGGAAAGATTTACCACAGCCTAAGATAAAAAATAAGAAACGTATGAAAACACCCATTCATAGAACCCAGAAGCTAAAAAGAGAAGACCACAGAGTTGTAGCAGTAGGAGCAATCTAACTTACTTTACACCTTTACAATGGACACGGTTTTATTCAGTCTCAAATCTGGGCCATGAATTCCTTTGTAGGCACAGATCTGACCAGGCAGTTACAAAATCATCCAAACAATGGATAGCTTCAATAATAGGCTTATTTATTCAGTAACTAGTAAATAATGCACTACAAGGTAAACATTGCATTAACTGATGGATTTAATTGACTAATATGCATGAGAAATATTATTTAAAGAATAAAAATAGAGAAAATGGTGAAAGAAACCAGTAGGCTAAAGAGAGAGAGAGAGAAGGATAAAGAACCAAGCACACTGTCAACTGTCACTGTCAACTGTCACTGTCAACTGTTTGTCAAATCATCCATCATTGCACATATAATACAAATGAAACGCATTTGGGGGAGAATATGCAGTACCACAGTGTATGAGCTGCAGGCTTGGCTGTGTTCGGTAACAGAAACATAACAGGAAATTACATTTCATTTTATCCTTAGCTTTTAGAAACAATGTAAAACTAAATGACAGTGTAAAACAAAAAAACATCTTGAAATCAGGCCTGAAGTCACTTTAATTCCCCGCAGGCCTTTACTCTCAAGATGTTATATGCTTTGGTTATTGGTCGTTACTGCCCATTTCCAACACGGCCCTTAGTGCACTTGTGGATTGTCCCAGTCTTAAAATGCCTGAAACTCTTCCCACACTCTGAGCAGTGATACAGTTTCTCTCCTGTGTGAATGCTCTGGTGTCTTTTTAGATTACCCTTTTGATTAAAACTCTTCCCACACTCTGAGCAGTGATACGGTTTTACTCCAGCGTGAATGCGCTGGTGTGTTTGGAGATTACGCTGTATAGTAAAACTCTTCCCACACTCTGAGCAGTGATACGGTTTCTCTCCTGTGTGAATGCGCTGATGTATTTGGAGATTACTCTGTTGCCTAAAACTCTTCCCACACTCTGAGCAGTGATATGGCTTCTCTCCTGTGTGAATGCGCTGGTGTGTTTTGAGAATACTGTGTTGACTAAAACTCTTCCAACACTCTGAGCAGTGATACAGTTTCTCTTCTGTGTGAATGCGCTGGTGTCTTTGGAGAGAGCTCTGTTGACTAAAACTCTTCCCACACTCTGAGCAGTGATACGGTTTCTCTCCTGTGTGAATCCGTTGGTGTGTTTTGAAATTACTTTGTACACTAAAACTTTTCCCACAGTCTAAGCAGTGATACAGTTGCTCTCCTGTGTGAATGCGCTGGTGTGTTTTGAGAATACTCTTTCGTGTAAAATATGTCCCACACTCTGAGCAGTGATATGGTTTTACTCCTGTGTGAATGCGCTGGTGTCTTTTGAGATGACTCAGTTGCGTGAATCTCTGTCCACACTCTGAGCAGTGATACGGTTTCTCTCCTGTGTGAATGCGCTGGTGTATTTTAAGATTACTCTGTACAGTAAAACTCTTCCCACACTCTGTGCAGTGATACAGCTTCTCTCCTGTGTAAATGCGCTGGTGTGTTTTGAGAGCACTCTGTACGGTATAACTCTTTCCAGGATCCAAGCAGAAGTGATTTCTCTCCCTGAAGCATTTGTAGGATGTGTTCACATGGAGGGTACCAGATGATGTTTGCTGGGCAGTTGAACGTCTACTGGATGCCATATTCTCATACTTCATCTGTTTCAGCAGCTTAATATTCCTCGTGGTAGACTGTCCTGATGTGTTTAAGGAGGCACCTTTAGGCTGAGTAGGAAAGTGCAGGAGAAGTCTTCAAACAAAACATGATCCATTTCTGGAAGAAGAAAAAAGAAAAATCTCAACTAAACTTAATGTGCAATGCAACAAAAACAGTCTGATCCAAATGATGAATGCTCCACTTACATCAACTGGCAGAAGGTGTAAAGAAAGAATGAACTTCCATCTGATGTGGACATTCACAGCTCTCACACTACACCCCCCTTTACTAAACAGACCTCATACACCCACCATAGACAACCATTGACTCGCTATAAATTCTTGTCTGCATTAAAAATGTTCTTCCGAGTGAAAATAAAGATTGACCGACTGAAGTAAGAAGAACTTAGCAAAAAAGTTTTTTGCTCTCTATATTACACACAAACTTTAGGAGTTTCATGACCATGTATACTTCTAAAGTGGTGCTTAATAAATAAAAGGAAATAAAGCAACCTAACCAGGCTGAGACGTGTTCATTTTTTCTGTTCTGTCCCATCAACAATCTTTCCGCCTGCCTTGGAGGCATCTTAAATAAGTCATGTTTAAGATATTAAATAAAGTAAATCAAAATAAGGATGTCAAGCAACAGGGTGAAAAGGCCTTCACTGGCCTTCTAATCAGCCTGGGTGATGTTAATTTTTAGTATCATCCTTTAAGACCAACAAAAAAGCCAGATATTCAATATGAAGAAAAAAAAAAATGATGACAGAGCTGTTGGTCCAATGCCATTTTGCTCAGCATTTTCTGGCAAAACTTTGCTTATCATTTTTCAACCAAATTTCTGATTTTTCCTTCATTTCTTTAGTTACACTTTATAAATTAGTTTCGTAAATAATTTTAATTTAGCACAGTGTCAGCAACAGTGACTATAAAATTATTTTTTTCCTCAGCTGTTTGCAATATTTGTCTAAGTTTATTTTCTAAATACAAGTCTCTGAACAATAAGTTTGAGGAGATGAAAAACTAGGTACAGCTTGTATGGAGGGTCCGAGGGTAGACCAGCAGTGGCAAACAGTCAGTAGGATGCCAACCTTTTCAAACCAGCAGACTGATACATTCTCGCTATCTGGGAAGTCTGACTGTAAACAGTGTCCGAAAAGTCTTACTTACATGAAATACAGCCATATTTTTTTATTCTTCTCCATTCCAGTCCTTCAATGCTGACTCTGTTTACTGGCACCTTAGGTTGCTAGCTAGCTAGCCAACATGCTAAAAACATTCAGAGCTGCTGCTCTGTTCAGCTCTGAAAACGCAGTAACGACGAGTTTTCAGTCGTTTTTACTGATTTATCAAACACTGCAGTCGTATTTATAACTAATCTCACTTTACAAACAATGTGTATCTCTATTTTTCATGATTATTACTTACCGAACATGCAGCAGCTGCAGTGTCTGACTGTCTGTCTGTCCGAGACTGAGCCGCTGAGATTTTGAATCCCAGCGTAGCTCCGTGATTCCGCGACCTCATTGGTCGAGCTTGAAGGCGGAGCTGACAATACTGTTACTTGATTGGCTTTGATCGAGGAGGCGGGACGCAGCCTGGCAAGCTGAGCAGCCTGTAAATCCACGTTCAGAGCCATGAGGACCGCGTGTTGTGTTTGGGGGAGACTCTGAAACGGAGACTCAGTCTGAGATTAAAGAGCTGTAAGTGCTGCTTTAAGCTGGTTTCAGTCCTTATATGTCGGTGTAACTGACTGATGAGGGTCTTTTTTCAGGTAAAGTGGCGCAATGTTTTAAAAAAAGCCACGGTATAAGGTTTTACGTTACATTTTCGTCATATCTTCTTCTGTGAGTCTAATGGCTGGTGGCAAAGCAGAAATAGACCCGGAGTTTCCCATTATCTGATTACTCAAGTGCATGTTAACGTGTTGATCAGTTTACTGACAAAATCTGATTTTCTGCAGTTATTGGATTATTGAGTGCATGTAAACACACTCAATGTAATTTCTCTGACATCAGCTCAATATAAACACCTCAAGTTAGTGTAAAGTCTACTTGTGTTTAAGTTCACCTTACTAATAAAAGGTCCCCAAAAAGGTCCCAAAAGAATTTCACATTATTCACAATTTACTGAAAGAACTGAAAGTCAATATATGCGATTCATGCCATTAATAAAACACCACGGATCTGTAATGTAGAAGATCAAGTTCAACCTTAAAAAGACTCATTCCATCCAGAACAATTACTAGTTTGGTTGAGTCATTTGCTGCACTAATTTTAAGATTATATTAAGCAGTGACTGATTAATCCATATTCTACAATTAAATACAAAAAGAATAATCACTTAATCATATGATCAACTGCTGCAGTCAGTGTATTAAACCACTTTAAGCTTTGTGTATTCTTATAAAAACACCTCCATATCATACACAGGGAAAAGTGACATCTGCTGCTCCTCAGACATACAGCCCATTTACAATCCACCATCTGAGACACCCAAACACACATAAATTAAGATGTTTACATGAACTATCTGAATATTTCAGACGGTAGACATTAATAAACATAGCGTGAAGACACACATAAGTTCCCCCTGTTGCATCCGATTCAGTTCCCCCTGGAAATCATGTTCCCTTTGAGAAATCAGGTCTTCGGGCACGCGCATTTGGGAAACAGAAACCAACGTCAGGGAACGCTGGAACTACGGGAAGCGAAAGGGTCCAAAAAGCGTGTTTCCACTGGCGGAGAGCAATACGAAAAGTATTTCCCAGTAAAATGCTACCAAAATCGGTCTTTTGTATGATTTATTTCTGTTCACTGTGAGATAACATTATTTCTGAAATGTCAGTTCTGTGTTTGTTGTATTTATTAACCACCGCTCGTGAAAATAAAAATATAGTCATCACGATAGTCTCATGGTTGCTGTTTAAGCACGTAACACGTGTTGTTGCAGTGTATAACACAAACATATTACTCGACTCAGTATTTTTATGCGGTACAGACTTCACCATGCTACAAACAGTGTAAGCAATACGACCATATGTAGACGAGTGAATAGCCTCATCCAAACGTGTTCCCCCTACCAAATATAACTTAAGAAGTATCTGTTATAAAAACTTATATACGGACTCTATTATTCTCCTAACTTAGTGTTACGCCTGGGTGATTACTGTGGAGCAGAGTTTTTTTTTCTTTTGGGAAATACTTTTTGAATTCATTAAATGCCTTGTCCACAGCTGTTCCAGCAAATAAAGCTCAGGGAAGGGGTCTCCTTAACACCAAACCATAGTGATGAAACACTTAAGGTCATACTAAGCCATGCTGCACCAATTATTAATGAGAACCTGTACACAAAGAGTTCAGTAAGGGGAATCCATTTCGAATGGGACAAATGCCTCATCTGTATCTCTCACCATTCACAAACACAGCCCAGAGAAATACTTAAAATATTACTCCATTATAGGTCAGAAGGGCTTTGTAAACAGCATATATATGACATACATTGCTTGTTTACCAGTGTTACACAAATATTATTGTTCTGGCACTGATGATTCAGTGTTTCCGTATAAAAGGAGTTCTTCCAAACAGTTGATTCCAGTGTAACTCATTGCTTTTTCTTATTATGATAGAAAACACTGATTCAGACATATGTATGACCTTAAATGACCACAATGATTGTTTGATTAAAGACAGAACAAAATTCCTTCACACAACATAAATCATAGTATTTTGCAAAGTTATTCAATCATTTTATTTGTTCCACATTTCTGTTCAATATTTGTACAAGACCAGTGTGTATGCATGTATATTGTCCCTCCAGCTCAGGGTTATTGACGCAGCCTGTGTGGAACCACCTTTCACATTTATCACAGGCAATCTGTGTAAAACAAAAAGAAAAGGTGTCTGCTTTTTTCAAGTTTACATAATAAAAATAGTAGTGGACAAAGTGCAAAACTCATGTATTTGAGGGAACATAGAAAATCTAAACTTTATATTCATATTTATATTAATACTCATGTTAATACTAGAGTTTCTTCCCGCATCCTTACACCCTTAATCAATGTTAAAAGTTATTATTCATTAATTTCCATTACTTTGCTTAACACATTTGATTAAAGAGATATGAGTGGCTACAGACACAGACAATGAATTCCATTCTTCATGTCTGTTTCAACAAAGGTCTCCTTAATGGAACTTTAACTCTATTAGAAATATAGATTTTGTTTTGTACTTTGTCAATCACTACAAAGAAGCATTTGAAAATACTGTAGTACTCTTATGAAGTAATAAATGTATGTACAGCCATAATGTAATAATTACCCAGAGAATTTCTGCAGCTGACTCTTGATGTAATTCTGTCTCTCCACAGAAATGGCATAAGTTGCTAAGGTCATCTGGTGATTCAATCATAGGGTTAGTAGAGTAAGTAGTCTAATTTACACATGAACCCAACATATTCCCCATTCCCATTTACAATTGTGAAGATGCTTATGTGCTCATAAGTTGCTATGTCTTAAGAGGGTTCTTTAACTACATGAAACATCATTCTATTGCTCCAGCAATGAGAATTTTTATTTCTTGCCAACATATTGTGTACAACAAATATATTTGTACTGGCTATCAGTTTAATTATGAGTCTGAAATGCTTCCTAAATGTGGGACTGAACTATGTACTACTGGTATCCTTGCTGATGATGTGAACTACTTACCAGATTCACAAATCAGAGTGGTTGTTATGTCCCACCTCATTCTTTTCACTGATTCTTGATCAGCTGAGAAACTGACTGGCTTGCCAGCCAATATTAGCTCTGCAAACTAAGGCACAATAATGTATTACTGTCATGTCATGTGATAAACAAT